GTATAACCTGCTTCTACTGCAGGTAAGTACATCTCAAGAAAGGCAGTTATTGCAATGTGTGATGTGCGTGTATATATATATCTGTATGTTTGCATATTCGTATTACTGTGTAAGTGTATATCCTCAGCTACCCAAAACTTCACATCCCCATCCATTTCACACCCCTCTCTATCTGTCTTCAAAAGCTGCCTAAAAACCTATCTCTATAATTACTTTCGCCCACAAAATAGTCAATTCACTTTACAGTATATTTTATGAAGCGCTTTGAGACGTCTCAATGATGTGAAGAGGCGCTATATAAAGAATTAAATCAAGAATTATTATTATTACTTTCCTCCTCCTTTTCTCCTACCCTCCTGCTCAGCTGCCCAGCACCATGTCTGTAAAGACATTACGCAAAAGAACACTGTACAATACAAGTGGTGTATGTATATACATGCATATTTCTATATACAGTATAGCCCACAGAATGTAGTCAATTCACTTTACAGTATATTCTGTGAAGCGCTTTGAGACGTCTCGAAGACGTGATAAAGTACTATATCAAATGCAAGGATTATTATTATTATATGCATGTGTGTATATATAATGTTGTGGGATGGAATAGCTGGAAATCTGCCTCCTGCCTTTGCAATACCCACTTAAGTATAAACTGAGTTACTGGAGGGGTCTCTTATTGAAAAATACCTATTGATGATCAATTTGCCCTATCCTCTCATTTACTGAGCAAACCAATCACTCTGACACCTAGAGCAAACTATTCACAAGTATCCTGCTCTTTAAAATTATTAAGACTCCCCGGGGTGTTCTTTTACACTTAGGTGACCATTTTACTCTACCATTAAGAGGTGGCTGAATATTCTGAATACCCTAGAACTTATGTTTGATTGCCTTTGAGGTTCTGCAACTATCTGTGTAAAACTTTCCCTTGGGAGATAGTCAGTAGGTGGAGTCCATGGGATAGATTTTGCATGACTTTTCAGGGAGTAGGTATAATGTGCCCAATCGACTTTCTCATTTTATGTTTTATGTTCTTATATTCCCTCACGTTTAAGAAAATGGAGGCAGAAGAGAAGGAATCAGCAAGTTGGACGCTTAAACCACAGCACAATAGTACAAACACAGGTAGAAATACTGCAGATTTCCTGACACCTTCAGACCATTTCAGCTCAACATCACAAAGACCAGGGCACTCTGGACATCTCTCTTCAAGGACAGAAAGGTTCCAATGCAGTTTAAGCTTGTGGCGTATAAGACTCTTGTGCAAACAGTTTTCCTTCATGTTTCTGAGCTTCTGGGCATGTGACAAAGGGGTTTCCTCTGGCCTATTTGGGAACTCCGAGATCAAGTGGTTAGGTAGATTTGTGCTAATCAGGGGAAGCGGTTGCAGGGAGGGAGGGAGGGCTGCAGCCTACACAGGAGAATCGTGGAGATGGAGTTGGCTTCATAGGGGGCACATCAATTTGCCAAAGCCCCTCACATGAGGACCTGGATGAAGCAGTCGGTGTTGATTAAGTTTGGGTAGCAGCTTTGGTCTTGGACCTCTGAAGCATCAAGGTGGCTGATGAGAGAGAAATATTGGCCAGGACACCAGGAAACCTCCCTGTTCTTCAAGATAATGCCATAGGATCTTTAACATAATCCTCACAATTTTGGTTCAAGGACTTAATAACAGTAATGATAATAATCCTTTCATCTGACATAGAGCCTTAGCACGTCTTTGCGACGTGCTAATCTTATCTATTTATTACAATAATCTTATTTTATTCACTTATCTGAAGAACAACAACAAGATTCCATTTATAGAGCGCCTTTCACAGCATGAACGACAATGTACTGAGCAGTCCCTCAGTACTGAGCTGAAGTGTCACCCTGGTGTGGAGCTTAAAATGACAACCTTGCGACCAAGAACATAACTAATTGAGCCGAGCTGACTCCATCAGTTTGCTTTACTTCAACTGACCTTGCTGGTCATGCACGTGGGAGCAAACGATGTAGAATCATCAAAAGTGGGCGGGGGAGAATAAATTATTTTCCCCATCACTAAATAAACAGGAAATAAAATTAAAACTATTTTTAAAAAAATTTCCTTTTTCAATTCATTTCTAAATTATGATTTGTTCTGGGAAGGAGTCAATCCTTAGGGGCAGATGCTCCCCGATGGAGCTTTAATTACCTGTTTTACAATAATATATTTGTTATAGCGTCTTTCACATCATGAGGCCATCTCAAAGTGTTTTACATGATAAATACTGTGTTCTATATAGTGACGATATTTTGTAGGCAAACAGAGCAGTCAATTTGCACAAGCAATGTACCATAAACAGCCATGGAGCGAGTGACTAATTTTATTTCGGAAATTGTTGGCGAGGACACTGGGAGAAAGTCCCTAGTCTTTTCAAATAGTGCCATGGAATCTTTAACACCCCATCTGAACAGGAAGACATAAGCTTATTTTAACACCTCATCCAATCAATAGCACTTCCAACACAGTACTGGAATGTCAGCCTGGGCTACATGTTCAAAGTCCCTACACGTGACTTGAACTGACCTTAAGCCACTTCTGACTCAGCAGGGGGTGGGGCAGTGGAAAGGCTAAATTCAATTGTTAAACTTTTCTAATAAAAAAAACTGCTGGATTATTGTCATGCAGTGCCCCATAATAAAAACGGGACTGTTGAAGAATTAGGTCTCCGCAGTGTAAAAATAGAAAGACTGGGTGTACATTGTGTGAATAATTCAGCTGAACGCTTGAGAAGATGCAAAAGAACGCAAACATTTTCACAAACTGAAATCACGATCAAGAGTGATTAATTAGCCCCCTGAGGCTGTGTAGAACTCGTTCACCTCTCATTTCCCTAAACAGATGTCCTACTGAAAGCCACGCCAACATGAGATTCTAAAGTAACACAAGGGGACCAAAGAGCTGGGCAGTGTCATACCCAGAGGTGCATTTACGTACTGAGATTCATCACATCAAAACTTATTTATTTGCAGAAAATACTGGAGGAATGAGAGGGGAGCACAATGCAGACAGGCACAACATCCCTGCAAGAGCTTTGCTCAGCTTAGATATACTCAGAAGTAACCGTTGTCGTCCCCAGATGGTCCGTGGATCCTTTTCTCTCCTCATCAGCATCTTGCTGTTGCTTTCTCTGTAGACATTGTTGAATCTTCCTGCTTGAATTGATTCCTGATTCTGTCTGGGTTCTTACTGTTGTCTTGGCCTTAAGCCACTTAGAAAAGCTGTGGGAGACTATCCTGTGGTGTAGCTATGCCTGCAGATCAGGTCTTTTGGCACCTGAAACCAGCAAGGGATACTAAATTGGTTTTCCACAAATGGAGTGTAAATATGCTCCCCTTCAAGTTTGTGTCATCATTTGACCTTAATACTTGTCACCTTCAAAATGATTAGATTCACAGCTCTGCTTTCTGCATCTCGTGAGATGTGTTGAGTGTTATGGTATACCACAGCAAAGGATTTGGGACCCAAATTCCTCATTAGGACGAATCCATTGCATTTATCCACAAGGGATGACGTGCAACATTAAATGTTTTAAATGGAGGAAGTAGTTATGGGAAGAACACAGTCTTATTTAATACTGTCATGGGGTGATGTCAGCGATACAACAACAACTTGGATTTATATAGCAGCCTTTACGTGGGAGCTGATGAAACAGATAGCAGAAACGGACAAAGTATTTGGAAATTCAAACAGAGCGGCAAATTTTATTGCTACAAGTAATAAAGCACTTTATCTCTCCTCTTTCCCCCTAAACTGAAAATATTAATACTGATTTAGATTTTTTTCATTCCTTTGTATTGACCAGTTCCCACCCAATTCTGCCTAAATTTGAACCCATGGATCAGTAGATGGGTAATTGGGCGAGTATCCAGTTTGCTAATACTCTTAAATTTGCCTTCGTCTGCTCCCTATCTCCTCTGGGAAGTGCTTTGAAACATTCATTTTACATGAGAAACACTCCTCAAGCCCTGGTTGTTGTGATTAGATGCAGACGAGTACTTTAATCTGCAAATTTTTCGACCACTTAACTCTGAAAACTATTTGAGGACGTAAAAACAACAATGAAGTAAAATCAACATCCAAAGGAGGGGAAAGTTTCTGCACCCTATTCCATTGGGAAAGAAAATGACAAAATCATTTTTGGGTGAATTTTCGCCTTGGAACAGCCAGATTGTAAACCCATGAAGAAATAAAGCTGGAATTTCGCTGCCACAAGTACAGAAAGTGGAGCTGTGAATGCAATAGTTTTAAAACAGAGTAGGCTCAGTCAAATGATGACATAATCTTGAAGGGGACCATATTTACACATATTTGTGGAAAACCAATTTAGTATCCTTTACTGGTATCAGATGCCAAAAGACCTGATCTGCGGGCACCTCACCACAGGATAGTCCCCCACAGCTTTTCTAAATGGCTAAAGGCCAAGACAACAATAGGAACACAGACAGAATCAGGAATCAATTCAAGCAAGAAGATTCTACAACTTCTCCTACAGAGAAAGCAACATCAAGACACTGGTGCAGAGAAAAAAAACTACAGACAATCTGGGGACCCTAAGGGTTTCTTCTGAATACAGCTCAGGTGAGCAAAGCTCTTGCAGGGATATTGTGCCAGGATTCTACCTCCCATCCCCGCCTCCTTTGGATGGAGTTATTCTTCTCAAATTAAGAGTGTAGGTATAGCATCAATGTAGAACTAGAGATGTGTTTGAAAGGCAGTAGAGAAACAGGTGAAAAATCACTTCAAAGAAAAGGAACGATTTTCGATGACGATTAACTGGCTTGATAATGTAAAATAGTTTGCATGTAACTGTTTTTATAATAAAATGCAAATGCGCAAAACAGTTTTAAATGTTTTCATCTATTGTAATTTACGCTGTTTGAGTAACCATTTAGACAAGAGTGATTTACAGGATCCTCTGAATTCTTTTTTGACTTGATACAAATCATTAAAATAAAACGCAGATAAATTGATCTGTTCGAGGAACTGCTTTTTATTCGATTCTTAAAAGAGATTCAACAACAACAAATTACACTTGTATAGCGCCCTTCACGTTGGAAAGTCGTTCAACAAATGTTACTGCAGATAAATTGCTCTGTAAGCTGTTGCATTAAAAGAGTATGCATTACTAAAACATCCACATCACAAAAACACTGGAAAGATGATTATATCCTATAGGCTCAAGGTCACTTATGCCAGGTTACACGACCTCTACAATTATGCCGAGATAAAAAGAAAAACTGCAAATGTTGGAAATGTGCAAACGCAGAAATGCGAGCAGTGCACAGCAGGTCGCTCAGCACTTGAAAGAGGAAAATGTGTTAACATTTCAGGTATGACCCTGCATCAGCCTTGCTCTTTCAGATCATCTGCTGTGATTTCCTGTTTCTGCCAATTCCACACAGACTCATTCATCCGCCAACTTACTCGTGCTCGCTCCTGCTCCACCACACACACTCACAGTCTGGCTGCAAACACAGTTGTTTGGTTTGAGGGTATCCTTTGTTCAAGCAGTGAAAGGGTCATGGAGATCACATTGCAAACATTAATCCCAATCACTGTATCTGCCCTTATTCCAGACAATACTTTGGATCAATGTTTTTAAAATGCTTTTTAAAAAAAAATATTAATTTGTGATCACTTGTCTATCCAACTTGTTCTTTGTACAAAAATTAAACACTTTATCCAAATCTACAGACCAACTAATCTGAAAGCATAGAAATTGTATACCATTGCTACAAACAGGTGATTGATTATTTAATTAAAGTTTCCTATTTATATTTAAAATCTAACTTTGCTGGCCTATCTCATAAAACATCCTTGGGCTTTGTGTTAAAACAGTTCAATACACTTGGTTCAAAGGTTCTCGAACAGATGAAAGATAGAAACACCAGCTTAGGTGTAAATCTATATGAGGCATTGGCTAAATTAAGTTGCACACTGATTGCCTCATTGGGTCTCTTATTTAACTGGTCCCAGGTGGATAAGTGCCATTACTGTAGTATAATCATGAAAAAGTTCATTGCAATCTTTGGAATTAGAGCATTCCCGCAGAGAAAAGTTTTCTGTAACAATGCGGTCACATCCAATTTCACCGTTACCGAAAAACCCAAATAAAGGAATGGTTGGAAACTGCTTCCGGAAGGCGTCGGCTTCCACATTCTCCTTGTTGGAGTAGTAATCCTGACCCCGACCAATGCAGGTAAACATGAAGCCAACCGTGTTGCTCTCTGGTATGTTGGCTGCTTTGAGGCGCTGCATCGCTGCTTCCACGCTTTCTGGCGTATCAACGTCCTCTCCTAGCAGAACTGATGCTGCCTGAATTGGTCTTCCACTGAACGCCAGCCCGACAAAACCATAGGAGTGATGGACGTCAATCCTGTGGGAGGAAATGAAGAAACTCCTGCTTAAAACTGAATCTGTGGCTGTTGAGCTAAAACTTTTCAATTAGTTTCATGGAATCCTTAACTCCCACCTAAAGAACAGGATAAGGAGGTCAATGTCCAAGGTGGGGAACACACAACGTTCTGATCAAAAGACAAGAGCCATCATCTAGCCAAACTTACCTGTGATAGATAAAGCCTTGGTCTGTGGTTGTTTTCCAACTCTTCTTTTTCTGCCTTTAAGTCTCACTCCAAATGTGTTTATGGCCACTTTCCATTCACCCTTGCTCAACATCCAACCCATTCCTGTAAAGCTCACATGTATATTACCCAATGTGAAGGGTGCTATGTAAATGCAAGTTGTTGTTGTTTGACTTACCTTTCACTACGAGGCGAGAATACTCTGTCGATGTGGCCTCCAGCTACAACTGTGCTCTTTACGCTGAATTGTTGTGTTAGTCGCTGCAGAAAGTTGGTTGCTGCTTCTTTCATTGTGTTGTAACCAAACAGGAGAACTGCACGCAGATCAGGGTTATCTTGAAGGCCTGTGGGAGGTGAAAGACATCTATAGGTAGAAAATAATGAACTTAGCAACATCGACAAAAGTATAATTCTTTTGAAGTTTGTAATAATAATAAAAAAATGCTTGCAATTAGGTTCGTTTCTGCAACACTGAAACATCTCAAAGCATTTTATAGGTAATTGCCATCAATTACTTATAATATCCTATAATTACAAATACAACATATTTATAGACAAAACCTGGCAGTAAAAGGAAATTATGATACAGAGCCAACCATGCTGAGCTAAAGTCTCAACAATGAATGAAATGCAGATTTCAAACCCATGGAAATGATGTCGAGCTTGGGAAGCATTTCAAAGAGAAAACCATAGGGACAGTCCCATCAACATGCAGTAAAATTCCTGGAATGTTTGGTAAAGTATTCTTTAGTTGTTGCACGAACCAGAAGATTAGTCGTAATCAAAATGCATCTGATTCAACAAGTACCTGAGTTGAATTTGCTGTGACGTGAACAGCGGGCTTAAACAGGTTTGTAATTTAGATCAGCATATATTATTGCCCTAAGAACTCTGCCGGGGTAATATTATGTAGCTGTAGTATTGGACTTGCCACTAGGCAGCACTGTAACACGAACACAGAAATCAATTCTACCGTCACATCGCAAACAAATCTTCAGACTCGCCACATAATCTTGTAGCCTAAATTTGAGTTTATGGACAGTACCATCTAGTGTCTAGAAGTGGAGTATAACAGAAGAGTACATCAAATGTTTCATGGTAACAAAAGGATTTTCTTCAGCTGAAAACAAAACTAAGAGGAAGCTTTCAAAGACATCAGTTTATGTCAGACTCAAAGTTCCTAAAAAGTGATGGACCCATGTTCTAACCTTGTGTTTGATAGATTGTCTAAGGATGCCTGAAAATTATTTACGAAAACCAGGAGTCTTCCACATCACGTGTTAAAATCTGGAAAACTACAAATTTCTCCATCAAGCGCACTTGTCAAACTGAGTATTTAACCCAGTGTGAGATTTTATTCTGCATTTCCACATTGTGGCTGTCTTTCTTAAAAGTACAGCTAATTAGATCCATTTTGAACGCATTTAAGAGAGGAAATCGGATGTAGGAACAATTTTCACAACAGGAATATCAGGGATGATTGATTGTAATTAGCAGTACAGCATTATTATTAACAACTACTTGTTGTAAAATGACAAGCAAGTGAATGAGTTATTAAAACTCATTTGGTATGAAAATTAGAAAATTAATTTTTATAACTTTTGAAAAATTATTAAATAGATGCATCTGCACTGCTCACTCATATTTTTTTTACAAAATATTCTCTTCTCCATCTACCTTTATCCAGTAAGCCATACAGACCAAAAAGGACAAGGATCCTTTTGTATTCAGTTTTTATAGCCCTTCTGATGGTGACTCTTGCTGAGGTACATGTCCACAGTCACCAGACTATTCGATGGTTTAGAGGTGGGAAGAGGAAGTCACACCTGAACCAAATACGATCGGCCTTCTTTCAACTCATATACACACTTTCCAGGAGCAGTCACTGCATAACCATCAGAAGATCGAGCACTGGTTGATTTTTCCGCGCTCTAATCCAGAGGCGTTGATGCTAACTGTAAACTGAGACTAAGGAAGACATATATACACTCCTGCATTGTGGTCACAATAATTCCACTCTCTTAAATAGAGTATTTATATTGCTGCAAGATGTACTGCACAATTTTTTTTTAAAAATTGCACAAGATGTGTTTTAAAAGAAACCATCAACCAGAGAGAGTGTCCCTCACCTGCATCTCGGAGCTTTTCTTGATCAAAAGCTTTATCTTTCAAATTTTTGTTTGAAAAGTGGAAGAACTTGATTGTTACTCCTTCGATTTTGGGCAAGAGAAGAGCAAATCCTGCTGTTCCATCTTCCTCCTCCCGGGGTCGCTCTCTGCCACATCCCATAGGAGTGTCTGAAAACATGAAACATCGGCTGAGCATATTCGAGATCAAGAAGAACAGTGAAGTGTTCCATTTAGTTCATAGGAATTTTACATGAACCAAATGGAACACTGACACTGTAAGTGGACATGCAGAGTCCAATTCACATCTCCTGTCCATTTAACAAAATTAAGTTAGTCGTTGCCAGTTAAGTAAACCATCCAAATCTAAATTGCAACAAAATACCAAGAATGAGAGATGTTTTACTCAAATCATTTGAGAAATGATGTTCAAAGGAACAAAGCCATTGGGATTGGAATAGATTGATACAGCTGTAGGCACAACAGGCCCAATGGATTCCTTTTTTGCTGTAAACTTTCTAGGATTCTAGTTGCTCATTTATGAAACCAATTTATGGACATATCACATATATGTACGATTGCTACCTTGGCAGTAGAAATGTTATTCACAGACTTATAATCAGCATTTCATAGCAGACAAAAACATTTCAAACTAGAATCTCTTCAGATCCATCACAGTCCAGCTCACATCTTAGAATCTTAAGGTATGGTGAGTAGATATCAATAGTGGTCACTTACAGACAATCCCAGGTGCGCTGAACCCCACAGCCTTGCAATCGATGGGCAGTAAGCGCTCCACTTCTGCTGCCACTTCAGCATCTCTATTTCTCTTTGGTACATCATTCTTCCTCTCTGCAACATTTTAATTTTAAAAAAAATCAAAATTACAAGGTAAATTGTTTTATAGTAATTAGTCAATTGCGGTGACTTTTTTGTAGGCAACTGCAGCATTTTGTCCACAACAATCTCAGCCACTGACCATGAGGTCAGTGACCAATTTGCTTGGAGGTTTGTTGGCTATGACACTGGAAAAATGTTCTTCTCTTTTCAAATAGTGCCATGCATTCTTTAACATTCACCTGAACAGGCAGCCATGACCTTGGTTTAATGTCTCAACCAAAAAGCAGCGTTTCCCCAAGTTCTGCATTCAAATGTCAGCCCATATTGTGAGTTCAAGTCCCAATGTGGGAATTGAACCCATAACCTTCTAACCCATGGTGCTCTGAATACAGCCAAACTGACATGTTAACAAATAAACATAAAGGTTTAAACACAAAGACTCCTCTAGCTTCAGCTTCTGTCGCCTATGAGTGAAATAATATCATCCCATCCTTTGCCTGAAAGGCTGTAAAATTAGATATACAACAGTTCCAGAAGCTCGATTATACACTCCAGCTAATTTAAAGGCCATTAACTATGCCAGAAAACAGGATTTTGGCTGACTTACCAACAGATGTACAACAGTTTGTGTTTGAAGCTAAATCCTCTCAAACCACTCCTCCAACCCCCTCCCCGCCCCCAGGCCTATAAAGAAAAAGTATTTCACCTTTCCTCCTTCTGCGAGAACTGAAGGTGTCTGTGCCAGTCATGTACAGCACTGTCTGTGGTAGAACATACACGTCCTGTTCAAAAGAAATGTGAGTTTTAGCATAGTATCAGCAGCAACATACAGTGTACTGACACAAATACAGCACTAGTCGGTGATAACATTAGGAAGGCTGAATTGCAAATACCAGCCACTCACATAACTTAACATGGCACTACAGTACTGTACCAGATAATAATAATAATGATAAGGAAATTGGTAGAAGAGTACCATTCAAAGAAACTCCATCAACATAATTTTCTATTGAATGGTACTCTTCTACCAAATAATGTTTTGGGATTTACTTTTAAAATTTCACCTGAACCACCAGAATGGGCTCTTGGTTTACTGTCTCACCCTAGTACTTAGGATGTTTGAATACTGACAGAACAGCTTTCACCAGTAACTTGTACAATTTTAACCAAAAGACAACAGAGTAATCAAATGAATAGACATGTAGGAAAAGAGCATTTACTACCCACAAGAATCTCCTAAAGGCTGTCTCCTCTTTGAAGAGAAAGCCACCACTTACTTCAAGATCAGTAATCATTTTCTTCACCAAAAAATGATCACCATCATCATCGTCTAGATCAGACAGGCCTTTCGCAGAAATCCAAGACAGCTTTTGATGCATCCGGATCACCCTACGAGCACAATCTCTCCATAGCCTGCATACTCTGAAACACAAATATTTAAGTACTGAGTCAAAGAATCACCACAGATCTAGCTGGATAACACTGTTGTATTGTTTTCATTGTTTTTTATTTAAAAATAACACAGAAATTTTCACCACAGGATAAACATTTGTTTACATTATGGACGATAAGGGCAACATTGTGGCAAAGCCCAGGGGCAGGAGGTGAGATGCAATGGCTGCAGTTACAGGGCATCAGCCTTGCTCAATCAGTAGCACTGTTCCGAGTCCACATCAGGACTCAGCAGCACTGGGGAGGTAAGCGATCTGGGACGCTGCCCGGCATGAGGGGGTGCTATGTTGTTGCTGTTGTTGTTGCTTTGTTGGAGTTCCTGTCCTTCGGACGAGTCATTAAACCAAGGTCCCATTTCTCTCTTCCTGTGGCCTGGCCAACAAATAACCTCCCAAATAAAACTGGTTACTCACTCCGTGGCTGGTTGTGGGGCACTGCTGTGTGCTGCTGAACTTCACCCGCAGTCACCCGCTGCTTTACAGTAATTACTGCTTTACTCGAAGACGTGATAAGGCGCTATATCAAACGCAAGGCTTATTATTATTATTATTATTCTCCTCCTCCTCCTCCTCCTACGAAGCGCTTTGAGACGTCTGAACTCTTGACGATAAGGCGCGATATCAAGCGCCAGGGCATGTTTTCAATACTCTCACCGGTATTCTCATTATCATCATCATCATCGTCATCGTTATTCTTATTCTTATTATGAATCAACCTTTCCTGCGAAGCGCTTTTGAGACGTCCTCCCGGGGTGAGAGGCGCCAAAGCCAAAGGCACGGGTTGCCATGAGTTACCTGGCGCTCCCAAGCAAGGACTTCGTCGGCAGGAACAGCATGATCCTCTCCACCACCTCGGCCACGCTGCTCAGCACCGAGCTGGCGCCGTCCAAGCTCTTGCTCTGAGCCCCGTCCATTCCCCCCTCTCTCTCTCCCCCTCTCGCTCGGTCGGTCTGTGTCCGTGCGTCTTGTCTCTGTCTCTCCCGCCGAGGCCTCGCGCAGCGTCCGCCCAACAATCGTCCCCCTTCCTTCCTTCCTTCCCTCCTACACACACACACACACACAGAGTCCAAAACCCCACCGGTACCGCCCCGGAAAGGCATCCCCGCGGCTCCTGGGGCCGCGCGTTTTGGTTCCGGCGCCCGGAGCAGTCACGTGGGGAGGGTGTGTGTGTGTGTGTGTGTGTGTCCGTGTCCGGGAGTCGCGCATGCGCCGGGGCAGCCTGGTCATCCAACGCGTTGCAATTTGAAGGCACTTCTCAGCCCCAGAGACAGGAGCTGCAGTTCCACCTGTCGTGTCTGTGCCTTTTGCTCCCCCCCCCCCACACACACAAGGCTGAGCTGGATGATACCAACCCCTTATAATCCTTGCATTTGATTGATATTATACCAACCCCTTGCGCTGGGTGGACCTGAGCTGAGGTTTTATGCTCAACACCCAGTCCCTTCACCAAGTCTTGTACCTCTAGACAGACCGCGCATGGTCATAACTCACCCCAATGTCACCGAAACCCCTACCCGTGTTTTCATCACCTCAAGGCTAGATTTTTTTTCACAAAGTCATCACATTTTTAAAAAAAAAAAATCTTATCTCCCCTGTAGCTGGAAAAGGCCATGCTACACCGTACAGGTGGGAAAGTTACATGTTCAAATCCTGGTCTGTTCTTATCTCAGCTGGAGTCTGGGTTACCATTGACCTCAGCAACTCTTGGTAAGGGAGATGGAGGGATCAACTAGGCAGAGCCATTCCAGTGTGGAGTTCCAAAGAGTGGGGGCAGAATAGCTGAAAGCTTGTCCAATGATTGTGAGTGGATCGGGCAGGACGCAAGGCAGACTGAACAGCTCTCAAAGACACTATCCTGCATGAAGGCCGCTATGTAATAATTCTGGTTGCTCCGCTCACAAGATCAACTAAAATTAGTCTGCGTGTTCAGATGGACTGTTTGTGGAACCTACCATGTGCTGTACTTGCAGTCAACAACAACTTGCATTTTTATAGCACCTTCAGGTAGCATAACATCTCAGAGCAATTTACAATGACCAGGTTGGACCCAAGCAGTCATCACACTTGACAGCAATTATCTATGAAGCACTTCATAGAAAATTATATTAGACATATCAAATACAAGATTTATTACTCTGTGGTTCAGATTAATAACCGCTTTTGGTAAATTGATGAGGATGAATTGATGAACGATATTTTCAAAACTTTTCAGTAAAGAATCACTAAGTTGCTAAAGGACAGCTATGATTTCACTGAATGCAAATAGTGATTTCAATAGAACAGGCCTAAAACTTTTCACAGGCTAAGTGTTAAGAGTTAAAATGTAGGATTGTGCAAAATCTTGGAAACATTTTCAAATTGCTTGAGGAATGAAAACCCTGAATGATTTTCCATTCCCTAAGCCAGAGGAAGCTGAGGCCAATTTAGCATCCAAGTTGTTGCCCTATTTAAGATCAGCTAACTGGTCAGAAATTATTAGACTACACTAATATTTTAGACAAAGATTTCTTTATTACATTACATCAACTTGTAAGGAACTGAAACGAACGTGGGAATAAATTTAAGTGTAAACTTAAAATTAGAAATAAATTAAAGTTAAATAAAACTGCATTTTTTTAAATTAAACTTTAAACCTCAGTTAAATACGTGTGTTTGTGTTCAGTAAAATGAATTGAGGGCTAATTAGGAAAAATAGGTTTGTGTTTTTCTTTTTTTAAAAAGAAACTTTGTTAACATTTGTCTCGGCGGTGAGCAAAGGAAGATCGTTTGTGAATGAGGGATGAGATGTTTGACTGCAACTCAATATTTTGCATTCAGCAATTACGGCTAAGACTGTTGAAATACTGATGTAGTGCAGATAGCTATTGCGGGAGACAGGTCACGATTGGAGAGAGACTTGACTAAATAGGGCTGCAATGAGCAATTGGCAACAATAGTGTTATCGCATTTGTAAACAAGTGTCGACCTTATTTGCGTAAACTGCGCAACACACACAAACACATAAAACAAACGCATCTGTTATTTGTTTAATTCACTCTGAGACAGAAAGCAAACTTCTTTTTCGCCTCCACGCTGGGTGTAAAAAAAAGTCGAAAGAATGACTCGGTTTGTTTATTTTTTTTTTTGGGGGGGGGGGTTGTTTATTACAAAAGCGACTCGAAATGCGGGTCGGGAGATGCCGCAATTCGAGGCACGGATCAACCAGGCAGCTCCACAGCTACTTTCTGCTCAGAGTTACTTTCACGGAAAGGGGAAAAAAAACAACAACAAAAAATCTCACCGGATTGAAACTTTTTTTTTGCAAAACTGTCAAAGCGGCACTGGGTGTCAGTGTGACGCGATTTGCTCCTGAATTCGTTTAGTTTACATTTCAATGGGGAGGGGGGGGGGGGGGGGGGGGGAGTGGGGAGGGGGGGTTGCAGGCGAAAGAAAGAAATCAACTGAACTCCCTTTTTTGCATTTGCAACTTTTTAAGTGCGCCTGAATGGTGAATGCTGTTAAATAGACGGCTTGAAAACACACAGCAGTTACCCCAACCCCCCCCCCCCACCCCTTCCCTTCCTCCCTCCCCCCTCCCCATTCATAGCCTGCAAGGCGTGAACAATTTTTTCTCTGGCAGAACCGCACATGCTTTAGTCCGTGCCTCCATCCACCACAAAGGGAATGAATCGGGCCAGAAAATGCTATTCTGTGCATTCAGCCATGTTAGCCACTGAACGAACATCTGAGAGGGAATGATTCAAACCCCATCATTTGAGTTTGCAGAGGCTGAATATATCTTACAGCCAATCCCCTGCTTTTAGCTGAACGGGGGGGGGGGGGGGGCAGCCCTTGTGATGACTTGAGCATTCCACATTCTGAGTGTGTATATATAAATATATGGAGGGAAAAAAAATGACATTCGTTCAGGAATGTCAAAATAAAAAAAAGTCAGAATTTTCTTTGCAATGTGGACTTCGATGCAACTCCCAAGCCTGGAGTGGTTGCTGTGTTATGGTTTGCTCCCCCTACTGATTTTAAACCAAATAGGGAGGGGGGGGGGGGGGGGGAGTCAGGGAGACCACACATGTTGCAGTTTTCTTACATTTATAAACATTTGATCCAGTTATGTGACGTGAAGATTGCCCAAAAAATGAGTTACTATGGCAATGGATTCCAGGCTGCAATCCTAAACTGATCAATCCCAGACCGGTGAGAAATGGGGAATAAAAAAGGAATTTTTTTTTGGTGGGTGGTGGATGGGGAAAAGAGAAGGAGAAGAAGGGCAGAGAGAGAGAGGAGAAGGAGGGCCTGGAAAGTTGGGGGGTGGAAGAGGAGAAGGGTTGGGTGGGGGAAAGAAAGAAAGAGAGAGAGAGAGAGAGAGGGAGGGAGGGAGTAAAGCTAAATCAAGCGTGAAGTGGAACAGTGGAACAAAGCTGCAGGTAGGTTAGAAAGAGAGCAGGAGAGAGTGAGACTGTGAGAAAGAGAGAGGAAGCATTTGCATCTCACAAAACCGCGACAAATTAACGTTCTATGCGGGATGTTGTGATCGAAGCAGTGCGGACAAAAGGGGACAGGGGGGGGGGGGGGGGGGGGGCAGTGTTAGAGAGAAAGAAGAGAGAGAGAGAGAGAAAGAAAAGGGGTGGGGGGTGGTGTGGGGGAAGAGAGATTTGCTTACTGGCTGCACAGATTCCGGATAATGCCCTGTGGGACACGAGCTCACACTTAAACTGGAAAAGACTCGGGAGTTTTGGAAGAAAAAGAAACCCCAAACAGCAGCGGTAACTTTTTAAGGGGAAGCGTGAGTTCGCCAAGAAAGTTAGAAGGAAAGGGTGGGGGGAGGAAAGGGGGTGTTGGGGTTGGGTGGGGGGGGGGGGGGTTGTCTTTCGATTTTTTTTAAAAAAAAGAGAGCGAGAGAGGAGGGTTAAATATTTCTTCTTCGCTGTTATGCAAGTCGGAAAGGATTTTTGTCAGGCGACTTTTTGATCAGAAAAGGAGAGAGAGGGAGAGGGAGAGAGAGGGGGAGAGATGCTGAAAATGGTTGAGTTCTGCTTCGATTCGAGGTGAGAAAAGAGACAGAGAAGGAGGGGAGAGGGAGAGAGAGGGAGGGGGGGGAGGATAGAGAGGGGGAGTTGAATGGGGCCGTGGAAGGAATTGGTTTGAGAGAATGATCCGCGCTATCGAGGTGGTCTGGTACATCCTATCGACTGTGACTTGGCTGAGCTCGGGGGCTGGGGGGCAACATGTGTGTTGGCAGGCGCTGCTGCGCTGCCAGGAGGAGAAAGAGTGCAAGTGGGCTTACAGCCAGTACACCACCGCCTGCGATTCCTTCCTGAAAGGAGCGAGGAAGCAGTGTCCCAGCCATTGCATAGGAGCCCTGGTCAAGCTCAACCAAACGCACAGCGGACCCGACCTGGAGAGCTGCGACTGCGGGCAGGACGCGCAATGCAGACGGGCCAAGCGGGCCATCGAGCCCTGTATGCCCAGGAGGTACCGAGCCGACTCGGCCGACGCCACCGATTTGGGCTGCACCGAAGCCCGGCAGCGCTGCGAGGAGGAGTCGGTGTGCCACAGCGCCATGGAGGACTATCTGTCCAACTGCGGGCAGCTCTTCAACGGCCGGAGGTGCACTCACGAGTGCAGGAGCACCATCCAGTACCTGCTCTCCATCCCCAGCGGCGTCTCGCTCAACACGTGCGTCTGCGACGGCGTCGAGAGACCCTTCTGCGAGGTGGTGAAGGACAACATGCACAAGTTTTGCTCCATCAACGGCCAGACGGTCTTCACGGCGGGACCGGGACCGGGACCGGACTCGGAGGAGAATTACTATTACGAGGATTACGATATCAACAAAACGGATCTAAAGCCCGAGAGGAGCGGTGAAGCGGACACGCGGACTAGCGGCTCCCCGGGCCACCAGCACCAGCCCCGGCCCCGCCGCCTCCACACGTGGCTACTGCTGCCCCCGCTCCTGGTATTGTGGTTTCCATAATACTTTTCTCGGTACACACAATTATTTCGAGGGTTTTTTTTGTTTGTGCGTGTGTGTGTGTGTGTGTGTGTGTGTGGTGGTCCATGTCAGTCCATATGTGTTGTGTTGTGTGTGTGTGTGTGTGTGGTGGTCCATGTCAGTCCATACGTGTTGTGTGTGTGTGTGTGTGGTGGTTCATGTCAGTCCATATGTGTTGTGTTGTGTGTGTGTGTGTGTGTGGTGGTCCATGTCAGTCCATACGTGTTGTGTGTGTGTCTGTGTGGTGGTTCATGTCAGTCCATATGTGTTATGTGTGTGTGTGGTGGTCCATGTCAGTCCATGTGTTATGTGTGTGTGTGTGTATGTGTCTCTCTCTCTCTCTCCTTTGCAGCTGTTTGCTGTGCTCTCCAGCAATGAGTCCACATCCTGAGAGTGTCAACACTGGTCCTGTCTTGTGTTTTATTCCTGATCCGTTTCGCTCTCTCAAAAGTCCCCCCCACCAAAGGGTTTTAGTTTTGAAAGAGAAAATTCCTGCAGCTAAACACGACTCTCCTCTCCTCCTCTCCCCAATCCCCACCCAACACACACTTCTCCCCCAGAACTTTTTCAGTTATCAAACGATCTGAAGCGTTAAAAGCAACAAATAAACCCCACCAAATAACAGTCCCAACGAAAGGGTGACCAAAAAGTCGTGATAACTGCCCTATTTTGTATTAAAACAAAATCATAATTTCTTTTAAGACTTATTGGACATTGTATTGGTATCACGACTTTTTGGTCAGCCTGAAATTGCCTTAAACTGATGAGAAAGAACTTTTTATCAACGATGAGAGTTATCCTGGGGGGGAAATAAACATAAAACCATTCCGTTTACGTGTTAGATTTGTATTTTTTTGTGTCCCCCCCCCCCCCCCCAATTGTTTTGTATATAAAAAGATTCAAAACTTTTTTTTGGACAGTTATTTATGTTTACAACTAATACTTTTTGTTTGGGAAATAAAATCAGAAACTGTTTTGTATCAGTTTGTATCTCTCACTGAATGAATGAAGGGATGAATGAATGAATGAACGAACGAGTGCTAACTTGTAGCATCTGTTTTCACACGAATTTATTGCCTGTAATAATTAAAACGAAAACAAAAAACAAAACCCTCTTTGTCAAATGGTCTGAGAGATAGAAACTTCCTTCGGCTGACAAAGTCATCCTCCACTTTTCTTTTTTTTTAAAAAAAACAAAAACGTGGTCTTTTTGTTGTTTTTTTGTAAAAAAAAACACCCCTTGGGTTCTTTTAAAATATAGTATTAAAATAAACACAGCGGCCATAAAGCGTGGGTGCTGCAGGGTCGTGCCATGTATTAAACAGCAGAGGAGAAAGTTTACATTGGAAGGAGGTAATGTTTTTGCATTGTATAAACAGTTAGAAAGTGAAACAACCCTGTGGAAAGGGGGAGGAGAGAGAAAGAGGGAGAGGGGGGGGCAAGAAGCAAAATTCACTGTGTCTTAACAAAACAGGAGAATATACTGCTGTGTGTGTGGTGGTGGTGGTGGTGGTGGGTGGGGGGCAATGTTTGGGATTGTCTCGCAGGTTTAATGTAGAATAAGATAAGTCAATTATCATTTCGACCAAAAGGAGTGGCTTATTTATTTTTTACAATGAACCATTCATTAATGCAGGCAGTGAGGAGAGTGGGGGGGGGGAAGGGGGAGGGGAAGCTGCTAAAAATGAGGTCTTTGTGTCTAAGGGGAAGAGTGTTGTGAGACTCTGGAATTATACTGGGTGAAAAGAATCTGTTCGCAATTAGCTTTTATAGCCCTGCATTAACTTCTGTTTTTCTTTCGGTCTCATTTTATTAAAAAAAAGTGGCGCCGTTTTTTTTTTGCAGCTCAAACCTATACTGGGCTCATTCATTGCTAATCTAACCCGGGCAATAGTTCAGCCCTCCTTTCTGCAAATATCCCAGACTGGCTCTCTGGTCCACAGGAGGGAAAGAAACACCAGATCCTTAAATGTTTTTATTGCAAAATAACCTTTGATTAAATTACTCACAGCATCTCTCCTCCACTCTCCCCCCCCCCCCCCCCCCCACATTGGTTCCCAAAGAATTCTTGATTTAAAAAATTAATACAAATTCAAATCTGTCGTACAGTTTCCATCTCCGGTCCTTCCAGGTGATTTTTTTTCTGAGTTTATTTGGGATCTTGCGAAGAATGGGGAGTTAGAGCGAGTGAGAATGTACTGTTTAAATGCAATAAAAGAGGCAAATAGCAGGTTTGGTGTTAATAATCATAACAATAATAATCCTTGCATCGGATATAGCGCTTTATTGCGTCTTCAAGACGTCTCAAAGTACTTAATAGAATATACTGTAAAGTGAATTGACTTTATATTTTGTGGGTGAAACTTGGTTATATGGATCTTTCATTGATTTCACCAACAAACATTCATCCGTATTTAAGTACGTAAAGATGTTCCTTTCTTGGACTCCCAAAACCACAGGTTAAGGGTTACCAGAGGTGAAAGATTGACTAGAGATGTAAAATTATTTGAATTACTCTTTCTTGAGTACAAACGTCAGAAGTATTTATATACATCAATTTATACAGTGTTTTCTTTAAACTTCCAGGGAGATTTTAATGACTCACTAAAAGTGATGGTAATTGCATTTGAAAGGACACAACACAGGAACTATTGGGATTTTTCACATTTGGAAAAATTGCACAGCACAAAATACTAGCAAGTGTGTTACAAACTAATTCCAGTTGCACAAAGATAACACAATTAATGCACCCAACCCTTCATTTGAGTTTAGATTTCTTTTATCCAGATTTTAACCGAGCCAGATTTTTTTTGATAAAATGTATCGTGGCCTGAAACTAAGGTGACGACCCAAAATCAAGTAGGTTTTTAAAGAAAATTGATTGCACCATTCTTACTTGGTGCTTCCATCACTGGTTTGAGGAAGTGTGTAGGTGGGGTGAGGTGTTGTAGTAAAATCCTCCTGTATGTAACACAGGTTGTTGGAAGCCTGGTGTGTGTGTGTGTGGGGTGGGGGGGGGGTGGGGGGGTGGGCTGGGGGGGGTCATTCACGAATCCAATCTAAACAGTTTGTTGAAGCTCTCAAGAGAAGTGTGGGAATTGATTAAACACTTCAAATGACTCCTTCAGATAATAAGGTCAGACTATTTATAGAGGGGAGATATCGTCAACATAAGTGTCAAGTGGGTCTCGTTTTGTCATTCAAATAAGCTGACAAACAAGGCCAGCTCATCCCGGCCCCAAGTCTCTGAACCCAGGGATCCAACCTTATTGTTCGCTGTGAGAAAATGATTCGGGGGGTCGCCCTTTCTTACAAACGCTTCTTACGTTTTATGAAGATATTTTGGCTGCACAAGTCGTCTGCACATTATCTTACAAAGAGATTTTGCCCGGTTAAAAAAAAGGCAGCATAGGTTCCTTGATACAATGCTGAGGAAAACTCACCATTAACGACAATTACAGTGATCTTAGCTTTCCAAACCAGCACAGACATTCAAGCACTTTATTATTCAAAGCAAGAGCGATATGTGACACAATACATTTATGTGTACCTTCTTTTTTGTGAAATATTAAATGTTTAATATTGGCTGCAGAATGCATTTGAACCGGTTTTGAATATTGATTCATGTTTTTTTTCAAAGTGGGACCCATTTTAAGGGTGGTACAAAACGATAGTTTGTTCTGGATAATCTTTGGGGAAAAAAGTTTGAAGACGAGAGATCCTTAATAATCCTAATAAGATCCTCTCTCTCGCCCCTCTTTCTTCTGATACCTCATTTGCTGTTTATGACTAAGAAAATATCTTGTAAGAGTTAACTGTGTAAGAGCTTTCTGTTTAGGACAATTCCCCTGCCTTTTTAAACTTTTTCCGCTCCAGATGTTTGTCTAATTCCCCTTTAAAAGCCATTATGGATTCTGCTTTGACTATTGTTTTTGGTAGAGCATTCCATGTCCAAATAATCCTCTGTGTAAAAGAAGAATTCTAATAGTGTGCAAACCCAAAGCATTCCTTCTCACTGAGTTAAGCATCCATGGATAGAATCAGCTATTTAACCTGGCATCAACTTTTAACATTTCTTTTTTTTAAAAATCAACATGTGTTAAAACAATCACTTTAATACAACAGCTTGCATTTACACAGCATCTTTCATATAGGATGACTGTCTTGAAGTTCTTCACAAAGACAATGGGGACTATAGAACAGGGAGGAAATGGGGGAGGAGGGGAAGGGAATTTAAGAATGCTGACCCTAGGCACAGTCTTAAAAATGTGCTTCTAAGAGGGTTTGGAGAGGATGCAAGACTTTAGATATATATCTATGTCCAGTATATACAGCATATATATCTTTCAAAGATATGATAAGACTATATCAAATATGAGAATTATTAGTATTAAATATTTGTTTGTGTATTAATATAAGGGGTGGTTAATTTTAAATACTATATCGGCCGAATTGTAATAAACTGTGATGGCCTCTTGGGGAAGGCACTGGGCCATACAGATCCGAAGGTATCAGGTTCAACTCCTGAGCTAGGATAGTGGATATCACCCCTGATGCTGTGTAGCATCTCAGAGGTCCAAAGGCATCCCTGCAGGTATGACAGTTCAAGCCTGTGGGATGCCAATCACATGCAGGGTGTAATATAGAAGTATTGAAATTGTGGCATCCTGTTGCGGGGAAGTGGAGGGGGGTGGGGTGTGGGGAGTGCTCCTGATCAGAAAGTACAACCCACTCCTGTTTCGTTCAACATATAGGGGCACAAAGATGGTGACCTGAGTACATTTTCAGCCTTAGAGTCAATCATGAGAATGCTTGAGGCTATTATAGCTTCTACCTCAATGTATGGTTAATACTGAGATGGTTGAGATATCTGCTGTTATTGGTATATTGTGCCCTTTGTTACTTAATCTTGACTGCATCAACTCTGTTGCAACAAGCACTGCCCCATCATGGCGTATGTTATCAGTAGACTTTGTGAAATGTGTAGACCGCTCATCAGCTCATTGTCCAATTGAAGATGGTTTGAATTGAGCAATACGACAGAATCATGTCAACGTGAAGGTAACCTTTTTTTTAATATATATTGGGAAAGCATCAAATTATTTGCTCACATCAGCTTCTAAATCAACTTCTCCAACAATCAATGGTAAATTAAATACAATCACAGACTGATTCAGTCGGTAAAAATCAAATGCATTAAATTGCCCGGTGGCATCAATCCTGAACACTGAGTCAATTTACTTTACCGCCTGGATTAACATTAATAAAGCAAGTCCCCAAATGAACTCTGCATCAAATGTAATGTAAAATCCAACACATTTACAGGAAGGTCATTGTTCAAAATCCTCAGGAAAGCAGGTACAGAAATTCACACACGTTGCTAAATTGTCAATGATGTTTAACTTAACTCTGGTAGCTTTGTCAGGACCACAATGGAGCTTGTGGCTACTGATTGGATTCTAGTCTACAATAACAGATACTTTAACTACAAAAGCAATACAAGAAAGTGAATTTTAACAACAAAGCCTAACATAGGCTGATATGAAATATTACTGCTACCCTTCAGCAGTCGGGTGGGTGGTGTATATGTTAGTGTATTTGAGAATTGCGAGCTATTAATGCATTGATATCCTAAATGTGCAAAAGTTCTTGTACTGGGGCCTAACATGCAGTGATTGCTAATGGGATTCCTCAATAAAAAAGTACATCACACTGACTGTGGGAATCCCGTTCGCTGCATTCTATTTTCAGAGCGGAATTCCCATAGGTTGGTGTGACGCACTTCCAGTTCCTAGAAGGAGCTCCTCACTACGTTTTTGTTTCTTAAATAGAGGAATTTCATTAGAGATCACCCTGTATTAGAGCCATTCGTTTCTACCGGTAATATTTCTGGTGCCCGTTTGCTTTGTGATGGTCAGACTTTTCTCTGGTAAAACACTGACCGTGATACCGTACTCTGTGCATTTCACCGAGCTCAGACCAGGTCACAGCATCCACGGCTGATCAGTGAGATTCCACTCAACCCCGAGTCATCACTGCAATGAACAGGCTGAAAAATAAATTCAAATTACGAATTAAAACAGAAAAAAATACAACAATAATCCTCGCATTTGATGCAATGCCTACAAAGTAAAAAGGTCACAAAACACTTCACCAAGTTTGGTGACTGTGTATTGGTAGGCAAAGCCTGCAACCATTTTACACAAAGAAAAGTCTTCCCAAATGACCAATTTATCTGGAGAACTGTTGATCGGGATTCTGGGAGAAAGTGTCTCGTCTTTTCGAATTGTGTGGTGGGATTTTTTTCATCCAACCGAACAGGTGGACAGGACCTCAGTTTAAATGTTTCATCCAAAGGATGGCACCTCTTGACAATGCAGCACCCACACCAGTACTGCAACAGAGTGTTAGTTTGTACTGTTAGCTTAATATACGGAAGGGAAGGGGTGGGGCGGGCTTCATTACTTAGATTTTGAATATTTCCTCCCCTCTTTTGATTCATACCCGGGTGGGGGCTACAGACAGCCTATAGTATCTTGCACAAGTGACTATTTACTCGTGAGCCCAGGCTGTGGTTATTTACCTGTGGGCTGCAACACAGCCAAACCAATCCTATCCTCACCCACGCACTTTTCAGCAAGGGCCTTGGGTAACAATCAAAAGACCTCAAATTGCATCTGGTCTGAGCTTCTAAGGCCATTTGTCTTAAAATTTAAGATTGTGCAAAATTTTTGAAAATTCTTAAATTGAGTTTTTATTGGGAAGCCGGATTTTTTTTAATGAACTGCAGAAAACAGTTCACTTCCAACTTGAGACGGAATGTAAGACTTTTCCATGGGATGAACAAACATCCTCCTCCTGGTTCTCAGGAAAGTATGTGCAGAAATCCAGAAGACACTGCGGAATGCTGTGACACAATTCGAAAAGTCAAGGGGACTTGCTCCTGGGTCCTAAAGATGTCACGTTCCCAAGAAAGAACACTAAGATACACTCTACCAGATGAGATTTGGGATACAGACAGTGCATTCCAGCTTAATAGACACAACTTAAATCACACCCAGAACAACCACTTAAACCTCCAACATAACCCACCCTCGAAAGCTACCTCTCAGCTCCCTAGGAACTTGGTATTCATGGTTATCAAGACTGGTTGTCCATTACCATTTATTGGCTTCAACTTATTGGGTGTAATTCATACCAGATATGAGCCTCTTAACCCCTCCGACCTCCCATTCTTCTTGTCTGCTACATTCTTAATTTCATCTGTCCCACCGCCAATCCCCAGTGTCCCTTTGCTCTGAGTTACTGAGTTTTCACATTTTTTTCCACTGTTGCCTCATCCGATTTTGCTTTTTCTTAAGCTCCCATGAACAGAATTCTACAATCTGTGAGTGGCCTATCCTCCTTCCCCCCCATCTACTTTTCTGAGTTTTCTGGTTCGCTATATTTGAAAAACAGATTTACAGTGTTAATTTCAACTTCGTTTTTTGTTTTACTTTCTGGCCTTTCTTTTTCCAGGCTTTGTCGACTTGGGAATCTGTAATCTCTTGTATGTGAATCTGATATTCGCAAACCGTGTTTTGCAGTTAACCCAACAAATCACCTTTGTGAACATCTCAAATTAGACCCCAATGTGGATAGGAAATGCAAAACAAGACACACAGGTAAATATAGTAAAATGAATAAATAAATGCATATAAGTATTAGACACATACAGGAATAATTACACCTGCGGTTATAACCTGTCTTTCAAGTGGAATATCATCTAGAAGCATTTTACAAAAACGGTGGGGATCACAGATCAGGGCGAGTTTGAGAATGTCAATTGAAGGCAAGATCAAAGGGAAAGGATTCTAATAATAATCCTTGCATTTGATATAGCACCTTATCATGTCTTCAAGATGTCTCAAAGCGCTTCACAGAATATATGGTAAAGTGTATTGGCTATGTATATACGTGAGTGAAATTTTAAGAGTTTTGAAGGGGGAATCTTGCACTTTTATAGTACTTATAACATACGGCAAAGAAAGGGATTTGGGGAACAATTCAGAGAGTGTGAGACACATCAGTATTGGGTGCATTGGCGGTGTGGGGGTGATGTCTAGTTTGCTAACACCAGCAAACTCCTCATTCTGTGCTTGAGATGGGAAATCGAGTTATAACCCCAGAATGAAAAGAATGCCACTGTTAGCAAACGGCTGCTGTTAGATTCCCTCAGGAATAAATCACAACGGAGATCCATATTTTCTTACCAGAATCCCGACATCTGGAAATTGGTGAGTCAATTTTTTTCCTTATTGCCAGAACATCGCACAAAAGAGGCAATACAGTACTGGCCGCATCACCACAACTCCCCCCCACCCCCCTCCCCACCCACCCCTTTCGTTTTTACTGAGAATAGGGCATTTCCTGACACCTGCAGTCACTGGATGTATGTGGGTGGAGAGCTGGGGCAGAGGCTATTGTTTGACCATTCAGCCTTGGCCACAAAGCTAACTGTTTTGTGACTAGCCGTGCTGACAGTGAGACAATGTCAGAGTTCAGGCATTGTCGGCTGCTCAGAATGCCCCGGGGGAGTTTACGAATTGACACGATGCAGATGTTTTAAGAAGGACGGGGGTGGGTGGGGGGGGGGGGGGGGGGGGGGGTGGTTGGGCTGGGGGGAGGGAAGGATGAGGAAGAGAGAGAAGAGGCTTTTGAAGTGCATTTACGTTTCAACTGCAGTTATTCCCAATTAAACCAGCAGCACGATTGGTGTTAAGAAAATTGAGTTTGTAGCCCACAGGGGGCGTGGGGGGGAAGAGCAGAGAATCCCAGGCTAAACTCTGGACAGGCACACACATGGACAGCATAAGTTTATGCAGAAACCTTACGTGTAGGGAGATGAATTAGGTGCAGGAGGCAGTAGGAAGATAACAGTTCTGCTCAAGTGGAATAACCTACCAACCACACACTTGTCAGCAATGCACGACAATTCCACTTCAATTAGGTACCAGGACCGTCTCCCTCCACCCCGAAAACTACCCCCTTCCATCCTTACCAATGGTGTATGAGCTTTTAGCCAGTGTCTCGCTCTCTGGAACTCTCTCCCTAAATCCTGTCCCTGAACAACAACAACAAATGACATTTGTATAGAGCCTTTCACAACTTTCAAAACTCTTCTAAAAACCTTGCTTTGGTCAATCTCCGGAAAGTGAAGCATCGCCCCGTGCTGGAAGGTGTCTGTGTATGTCGGGGGCAGGATTGGGGTTCAGCTAGGCTGGCCCCTTCCCCCCAGCTTATACTACCTGCCTACAGGGAGCACTTTTAGATGATTCAAAGGAAGAACAATGTTGCACCTTGTGCAGAACTCCCGCTGTTAGGTGTCTCGCACAGAACAGAACGCAGTGTTTTAATGAAGAGATGTGGTGATGAATTAATGCACTTATCTTTCCTGTTAAACTCTTGACAATTTCAATTAAACCTTAGCAATGGGTGCTTCCGATCGCAGAGAAATCAGTTTATTTTCAGCCCACAGTGCATCCCCAGTGATCTGCAGTGACCTCCCCGCTTCTTTGTCCTGCAGTCTGTCTCATCAATCGTCCACGGTGACATTTTATATAAAAAAGGAGCCATAGAATGATTTAGCTGCCTATTCATAGTGGAAGGAATAAGCCAATGAGGTCAATTTAGTGCTACATTCTATACTTATCACATCAACTGTACCTGGAGGTGGTGACAATGTTACAATGGATGCTGGATCCATTCAAACATTCAAATTTTCAAGACTGATAGATATTTATATTTGTTAGGTAAGGGTATCAAGGGATATGGGGCAAGGACAGATAATTGGAGCTGAGGTACTGATCAGCCATAAGCTTATAGAATGGCGGAACGGCCTCGAGGGACTGAATGGCCTACTCCTGTTCCTATGTTTCTATGGCAGAGAAGCAGAGATGTCAGTTAGCAGGAGACCGGGTTCACTTCTCAGTAAAATGTCAGTCCCATCCCTGTCAAACCCAGGCCTGTTCCTCTGCTTAAATGACTTCCCCACCAGCAGCTTCAGCAGGGAGGCTCTGGAGAGTGATCAGGAGCAGGAATCTTGGCTAATTTTCCCCTCTATAACTCAGGTCACTGAGACCAATTGTAGCCTCAAATGCTGCCTCCTCTTAGGCCAGCTAACTCAGTATAGACCAGGGGATTCGACTCTACGATCTTCTGGTTTATTCTGCCCAATGGTGCACCATGCCAGTGCCTTTACCCGCTCATCCATCGGAGAATTTTATTTTTTTCCCTCATCGATCACAAGAACTGCACCCTCATACTCACTGCTTCTGACCGACTCTGACAAGCATCCCCCTCCACAGACACGACCTCGTTCAGAGATTCTCTGATCTTTAAACAGAACAGGAATTAAGTAAAAATTTGAATTAGCAAACATCTGACAGCTCATTGTAACTCTCAGCCACACACAAACACAATAGTATTCGCCTTTAATACAGCGCTTCATCACAAGATCTCAAAGCACTCTACAGAGCAAGGGACTTTTGAAGGCTGGCGACATATACAACACAGCTGTTCTACATGCCAGGGACATGAGGCGATGGGATGAATGCCAATCATGTGTTTTTTTTTTGTGAGTTTGAACAAGGAGGGAATGGCCAAGCACCGGAGAAACTCCTTGTTCTTCCAAACAGCACCACTGGATTTTTAATATCCATCTGTACCACCTTAACACACAGAGGGAACAGTTTAACAGCTCATTCACAGCGCAGAGGAAGGCCACTCGGCCCATTAGCCCTGTGCTAATTCTTTGACAGAGCAAACCATTCAGACCCATTTACCTGCCTTTTCCTCATAATCCTGCAAATGATTTGTTTATTGGATATCAATTTAGTAGCCTCTTGACAGTATGGAGGGTGGGCTGGGGTGGGGGGGGGTTTGAGCTAACTTGGGAAATTAACATCAAACAAACCTTCAGCTGTTCTTTCATGCCCTCTGCTCTCTTCATTATACTTTTAATCTGCCAAAATATCAGAAAGCGAAATTAGAAAGTGTACATTAAAACACTGGCATCTCAACAAACAACCATGTTTCTATTAATTAATCAATTTAGCGACACAATTAAGATCCATTTTGAAATACTGTCCCCCGAACCAGTGAATAATGGTTACGTAAAAATCCAGCTGAAAAGCCTTGGCCACTGCTACCTTGGATTCATTGTTAGCAGGACCACTTTTGGCTCAGTTAGGCAATTATTCCCCTTTCTTTCTGAGTTTATCCCCTGAGCTAGGAAAGACTGGCATTTAGTACTCATGCCCACTAAGTCTGAATCCAAGATGTCAGTAACCAGAGCTCGTCAATTGGATTTGACACTACCATTATACAGAAGTTGGAGGGGAAGGAAGAAAGGGGTATTTCAAAACACAATTCACGTTTCATAAATAAGGAATACAACGCATTATCAATTTTCAACTTCTGTCAGACAATTCAATGTACTCCTGTGTGTAGGTTAAACAGCAATTCCACTCACCTCAGCATGCAGAAGCTCCCTTCTTTTACCCTGAGGCTCAGCTGTAATTAGAGAAAGAATCCATCATTATCTTATACACACCAGTGCCCCAGGCTCCAGCCTCCACCGGTCATGTCAAGGCTACTCCCAATGCTCTGTGGTGTCTACGAAGACTCAGCACAATTAGAGTTAGGGAGCGTCTCCAAACCTTATGCTGCAATTGAAACAAGGTATAGGAGAGAGAGATGGCTGTCTTTGGAGCAGTGGCCTGGGATGGGAATGTTGTGTGTTTGAATGCCAGTGGGTCCTTGTACCAGTTTGAGACTGGTGAAATTAATTTTAAAAATAACCTTTATGGTGGAGAAGAGAGATAGGGGATAATCCCGAGCTGATGAAAGAAGTCTCTGGAAATCTAGGCTTTTGTAATGGTGTGGGTTTCAAATCAAGCCTAGATTTGCAAACAAAGGTCATTTTGTCACTGAATCTCATTTGGTTTCTTGGGGTAAATGAATAATGAACAGAAAATACTCTCACATCACAGCCACCAGGGTCCCACCAGCCCACAATGATCCCACACTGGAGTGGGCTGTATAATGGATAATACTTACAGATCACATACTTTCCCCTCTCCACCAACTTCACCTACCAGCCAGCACGAGCAACAATTCTCCAAGGCTTTGCTGATACAGCTCCAAAGTATCGCCAGAGTCACCGCCTTTTTCTTCCTGTCAGAGCGACGGGGAGGAATGGAATGAGAAGGAACATTATTGACCCCATCAAACCCTCTGCTTTCACAGACCAAGAACATATTCTGTTTCAAAGGAGTCAATCGATACAAATACAATCGATAGATACAATTGATACAGATCCTATGGCAGTTGTGGCCATCTAGTACTCTGTGTGAAAAGGAAGTTCCTACTAGCATTGAATCTTGTGGAGTCCTGTAGCTCAGTGGTTAGAGCACTCGCTTTGCAAGTGAGAGACCTGAGTTCAATTCCCGGCAGAGGGCGAAACCTTGGGCAAGTTTCCTTACTCCACACAGAGCCTAATAATAATCCCTCCAAAACCAAAAACAATAATAAATTGGTCATTTTCAATCCACGACTGTTTGTGGGACATTGCTGTGCGCAATTGGCTGCCGCGTTCGCCCACAAATATACAGTCAATTCACTTTACAGTATATTCTGTGAAGCGCTTTGGGACGTCCTCCCGATGTGAAAAACGCTATATCAAATGCAAGGATTATTATTATTATTATTGTTGGGAGGCTATTATGAGAGTAAAGTTGCACCGACCCTTTGCCCCGTCCTGCCCTCCCAGCCTGACCTGTTCAACAGCAGCAGATGCCATCTCGAGGGCGACAAAGAGCCTTGGTTTGTCCTTGGACATCTCTGAAAAAAGAGTGAAAAGTTACTAGTTCAGGAAGTAAAGGAAGCCAATAAGGGAGACAGCGGGGCTGCCCCTATGGCATTCTGGATAGAGCAGCAGCTTGGTAGTTGGCTAGTTCGGTTTCCTGGTCCATGCTGAGTTTGCTGGATGGGGAGACTAAAGTGGTCCCGGCCTTCCCAGGGTTAGGGAGAGGAGACCCAGCAGAGTTCCTCAACCTTCTCCAGTGCCCTGCACTGGTTGTGCATGTGTGGCAGCCAGTGAGGAGAGGTCAGGCCCTCTCCAATTGTGTGGCCTGATAACACAGTGTCACATATGAATCGTGGCCATCTGGGTGGGGTGTCGGAGGTGAACCAGTGTCTGTAGAACCATACCCCAGTGCGTATTATTTGCACTTCAATAGGTATTAGCGATGTATGGAAACCCTTGGAGAAGAAAATTCTGCACATTTAGAAAGCTGTGAAGGGAACGTTCAGTTTGTTTTACCTTTTAAACGATCCCTGGCTGATTTGGCCTGGGCCAGACTGGCCTCATTGCTCAGTGCAACAAGTACTTTCAGCTCCTCAGCCCTGGAGATGTACTGGTTTACCTGGGAACCAAACGGAAGAGAAAAGCACAAAAGTGTAGCATTGAAACTGGTTCCGGTCAAAATAGTGTAAAACCCTTACAGTACCTGATATTGTACTAGCCTATCCCTAAAATACAGTCAGCAGACAGTCCAGTCAGCAATCCTGAGGTATCAGCAAGAGGCTGACACACAGCGCATTCCCTCAATTGCAGAAAACAAAAGGCAGGGCTTGGCCTTCCTAATGGAAGCTTCAATGGAGACCTGCTAACTGACACATGAAGAAAGGTTAGTAAGTTGAAGCATTGGAGGGCACATGTGGACCAGAGCCCAGTGAGAGCAGCAGGACAGGAAAGGGGGAAACACAATGATTAACAACCACTGAGGCAGAGAAAGCTCCCAGTGCATGTTGCCCTTTAGGTTTGGAAGCTGTTTTTCTTCTTCTCAGTCTGGATTACTCATCAAGTGATGTTAAATTCACCTCTATATCTTTTTTTTTGTGCGTGTGTGGGGGGAGGAGGGAGAATGCTGCTTACAAGCCAATGGAGTTTCCAGACACCAGATATAATCTCTTTCTCACCTTTGACCTGATGGCCTCCTTACGTCGAGTGTCAGTCTCATCTGGTGAATTAATCACAAAAAAAGGGGTTAGAAGGAATTTATTATCTTGGATTTTCTGAGCATGTTCAAGGCCATAGAGAACATACCACAAAACAGGATGATGCTTCCCCTCCCACCAAAAACCCCCACACATATCAGTACAGTCCAACTCTGACCAACCTGCCAAGTGATCATTCTTCACATAGATATAGATATAGATGTGACTTTAACATCACTTGATGAGTAATCCAAGACAAGACAATCCTATTCTCAACTGACCTTCCAGCAAACTGGGAGGTGCTTAATAATTCCCTTTTTCGTAGCCCAGTCGCCTCTGAAACCAATTCAAACCCAACCACTGGGCTGGCTGAGATCATCTGACTCAACACAGGCCAGGGATTAAACCTAGGCTCAGTTCTCGCTGAAATGATCCTCTCGAGCGCCAAGCACCTCGGCGACTGGGACGCAAAAACTCACAGTGTAAAGCGGGAATAAAGTATTCCAGGGATTTGCAGTAATGAGAGAGAGCGCTCGCATGATCCTTCAGCTGATCTTTCTTCACTGCTTCCACAACCAACAAAGTCTGAAAGGAAGAAAGAATTTGCAATTGCAGAGCCTTTAGAAGGTGAAAATCCTTGACGGTATTTTTGGCCACGTTTACTGATTTGTTTGTGAAAAAAACTCTTAGCAGCCATTTTGCCCCCAACCGAATTTGACAAATGAACAACTAATTAATCGAGAAGACTTTTGGCCTGAACAAAATTACTTCTCTTTTCCAATAGTGCCGAGAGATCTTTAAAGTCCACCTGACCAGGCAGACGTGACCTTGGTTTAAAGTCACATGTGAAGGATGGCACCTTCATCAATGTAGCAACCGCCTCCCCTCCCCTCCTTCTATCAGATACATGAGCCAGCAGACCACTGAGGTCATGCTGATAACAATGTCTCTGCTCAAATTGACACACAGCACACAGATGCAGGGATATTATCATTACACGCGCATACAGAGGCCCAAAGCCCCATACCGCCTGCTCAAGACTCTCCGCTGTGGGCATGTGATCCAAATCCACGAAGGGGTGAGTGAAGAATTCCTCGAAGGTGATGCGTTGCTCAGGGTCTCTCTCCAGGAGCCGAACGAGCAGGTCCCTGCAGTCCGCTGAGACTCGAGCTCCTGCGGGGATCTGAAATTAAACCACCGTGTTAACGGCCAAGAAACTGAGCAGCAGAGAGAGAGAGAGAGAACGTGAGTGCAAGAGAGTGAGAGAGAGAGCAACATTTCAACAACAAAGACCTCAATTTATAACAGAATGCTTTTTTAAAAAAAATTACCAGCAAAAACAGTCACTACACTTAACAATGATTACCTGTGAAGCACTTTGAGATTTTTCATATATATATATAGATACTATATAAAGACAACTGCTATTTTTTTCCAGCTGGGCAAGTACAAAACTGGCTGAATTTCACCTCTTTTCTGCAAACCACTCGGGAGAAATTCTACCCAGATTTTGCTTCATTCTATTTACGTAACGTTTTAAAGCGTCCGGAATGTGGCAAATTCTTAAATACAGCCTTAACTTTGAAGTTAGTTTTCCGTAATGCCCGAATTCAATCATTTGCCAAATTCTTGATGCTTGAAAGTGGATGTCCATGTGGATTTTACTCTAAAGCGTGTCGATGGAGTAAAATCCATATGGACTTCAACCACACATGCCTTTATCCCAGCCTGATTAACTCACTTCTTACTGCACCAGAATTCTGCAATCTAAGATAGTGTCCAATAGACTGATACCCAGTTGTCAAATATAGATAACTATACCAAAACCCTTTCCAGTGAGCGTAGATGTGAAATACACTGAAAACTTGGGCACAATCGCCACCTGATGGCAGGATTTATAACACCATCCTTTCTTTTATGGTTTATTGGGATCAAGTGACATAGTTTTACCCCTGAGGCAGAATCTATATTAGCTTTTAAGACGGAATTCGATAAATAAAGAAGAGTAAGGAGAAAAGGAAGGGAATTGGGACTAAACAGATAGCTTCTTCAGAAAGCCAGGACAGGCACAAAGACACAAGAGAAATAGCCTCCTTGTGCGCTGTAAATTTCTATGGTTCTATATTATACCTGTGAGTCAGCTGATTGTTTAAGGGGAAGAGGGTTAAAAATAAATCAACCATAAGCCGCTCCTGATTGTTGCCTGGAGCTCCCCATACCCTCCCCTCCCGCGGGGCACTGCACTTGTGTGGATTTCATGTGAAGATGGGATTGGGCTCAGCTGCACAAGTCTGATATGAGTGAGAGAAATACAGGGAACTGCCTCTGTGCTTCCCATACCTCGACTGGCTTATTGCTGCGAATCTTCGCTTCCAGTTCTTTGAATGACTTTGAGGAAAATGGAGGACGTCCAAACAAGGCTTCTGAAACGAGATGATAATAATAACAATAATAATCATGATAATCCTTGCATTCAATATATAAGTTTCCTTACTCCACATGCCTGATAATAATCCCTTCAAGAAAGAAAAATAATAATAATTTGGTCACTCAATCCACAACTGTTTGTGGGGTACAGCTGTGCACAATTGGCTGTCGCGTTTCGCCCACAAAATATACAGTCAATTCACTTTACAGGGAGGGAGAAGGGAAGGAAAGAATGGGCTTGCCCGATGGCATGGTCGAAGAGGAAGGTTTTGAGACGGGACTTGAAGGAGGCTAACGAGGGGGCGAGGCGGAGTGATTGGGGGATGGAATTCCAGAGGTTGGGGGCAGAGTGGCTGAAGAAGATAAGTATAAAAGGTGTGTGCAGAAAGGGCCTACACTGATAGTTCTTTCAGAAGCCTGAGGGCCAATTAGCCTTCTTCTGCAAACCTTTGCAATTATTTAAGTTAAATTACCTTACCCTGGGAGAGGGGAATACCTCTGTGGCTGAGCTGACTGGCTGGCAGTAACTCATCCACGTACTGTTAACACAACCTCACCCTTCAAGCCAAGTCCCAATGGATAGGACAGTCCCAGCTGGACAAGTACTAGCTAAGCAGTCGCCCAATAGGCTTATGCCACTTCTTCTTGAGGAACTATATACAAAGTAGTATGAATAAGTTGTTCAGAGTGGGAGCAACAGGAGCTACAGGTAACGGATACCGGGCTATTTAAGCTGAAATGGAAATGGTTTGCATTTCTGACTCACCGTATAAAATGACTCCCAGTGACCACAAATCAGCCCTGGCATCGTACTGCTCCTGACACACCATCTCTGGAGCCATGTACAGAGGAGAGCCTCGGAGCACACGCTTCTCATCCCATGGGGACATGTACAATGCAAAGCCGAAGTCTGTGCAGCAAACACGACACCAAAAATAACATTTCATTGAGCAATTCTCTCCCCTTCCTCTATTCTGCTGGGATACGATTTTACAGGTGCTCTATCACAACTGTTTGTGGGACACTGCTGTGCGCAATTGGCTGCCGGGTTTCGCCTGCAAATTTACAGTGAATTCATTTTACAATATATTCTGTGAAGCGCTTTGAGACATCTAGAAGACGTGAAAAGCGCTATATCAAATGAAAGGATTATTATTATTTATTTATTTATTTATTATCATACCTCGCTCTGGTGGCCATTTTTCATGCATGAGGCTAGATGGGGAATGCTGTTCCATCTGACCAGTCCAAAAGTAAAATGAATCAATCTGACATCACTCTCTTATGCCCCCTCTAGGCAAATTGTTATCTCAAAGCACTTGATTAAGGCAGTGCTGTAACCAGGGAAATTAGATCCAAAGTCCCAGTCAAGCAGATATGCTTTAGGAGGAGTTTTAAATGCAGGAAGAGAGGTAGCAACACAATATGGTTTTGGAAATGAGTTACAGAGGTTAGGGGCTTGGGCCTAAAGGCTCAGCCTGCAATGAAAGAGAGAAGGGAGCGGGGAGTGAGCAACAGACAAGAGTCTGATTAAAGATCAGGAATCCTGAGACACGATTACTCACCAGCAAGTTTGAGGTGAGGTGTGTTCACGGAACTCAGGAGAATGTTCTGCGGCTTCAGGTCAAGGTGAGAGATGTTACGCACATGCAGATACTGAAGAGCTGAGGCTGACAAAGGGAAAATACACCAACTTAGAACTCCCTTCACATAGGATAACACTTTGGAGCGCTTTGTAGTGGTGTGGTAGGATGCCGAGAAAAAGTAGGTGACCATAGATGTGGTCAAAGAGGCATGTTTTAAGGTGGGATTTAAAGATTGATAGAGCAGGGGTGAGGCAGAGGGATACAGGTAGGGAGAAAAGCTTGGGGCATAATGACCAAAGGCTCAGCCACTTATGGTGATGCAAAGAAATCTCCCTTCTCTTTTTGAATTGTATCACAAGACCTTTAATGCCCATCTGAACAGCTAGAACACACCAACAACTGGGCAGAAGGTTCAAGTTCCACTTTGAGACTTGGGCTCCCAGATTATCTGATATTCTGGTGCCATTCTGGGAAACTCTGCACATTGACAAAAGTGTCGTATTTGGGGTTAAGCAGTTAAACCAAGGTCCCATCAGCCTGTTCCTCATTTGGACATTAATGGAACACCATTCGAAAAGAGAAGAGAGTTTTGCATGATGTCCTGGCCAACAATCTTCCAGATGGATTGGTCGTGTGCTTCATGGCTATTTATGAGACATTGCTATGAATAAAATGACTGCCACGTTTGCCTAGAAAAAAACAGACCTGAAACTTAAAGGAAATTACAGTAAAGCACATGAGCTCTTTCGATGTGATAAGATGCTATAAAAAAGCGAGTTCTCTTATGAAAGCGGTTCCCTTCTTACCGAGCTGCTGAAGGAAGCGACGTGCCACTCGCTCGGGGAGAATCCTGCGGCTTCGGATGAAGCGAGAGAGATCCCCAGCGGCCGCAAACTCCATGATCAGGTAAATGTTGTTACTGTCCCACTAGCAATGAGGGAATGAGATCAAACCATCAAACGAGTTGTTAACTTGTGCAGCCATCTGGCTAAGAAGCCAAGACCTCCCGCCACCCCCAGTGGGAAAACCAAGACAGAAGGAAAATTCTTTCCCATCTCCACATAAGTCTCTGATTGCCCAGGAATTTCTCTAAATATTCCAGTGCTCTGGAACTGTCCCACAAAGGGCAACTTTCACACGCTCTTGATCTTGAGGTCATGGATGTGTTCACTGCACGACTCAATAAATGAGGGACCTTGAACGGGGCAGGGAAACAGCGATTTTTTTGTCGTGACAGAAAGTGAGGCAACTGGCCTGAGTCTCTGAACATCAAGTCCCAACAATGCGAGGGAAGCAGGGAGCAGAAACCAGACAAGCCAGCGTAAAGAAGTTGAATGCAAATTAAACTGGGTTGCTCTCAGGTACCAGCGGATGATTACAGCGGATGATTACAGAGCACCAACAATCACTCAATACACAGACCATCACTTTGCTGGTTATTTTTTTTAAAAGATCTTATTATTTTTGATTAAAAACATCCAATTCAGTCTGGACCTCTTTAAACATTACCATGCCTACAGCATCTTATGGCAAACACACCTGAAAATCCTTGAGTTGTACAATATGAGGGTGCTGGACAGTCTTCAGAATCTCAATCTCAGTCAGTAGATTCTCCACCGAAGCTTTGTTCAAACTCTTCTTACTGATGCACTTGATAGCCACAACCTCGCGATTGTTAGCCTGTTGAAATATGGAGGAGCCATTGAAGGAAATTAAACAGAATGGGACATAAGAGCATAGAGGACCAGAAAAGACAATGTTGGTCCATCTATATTATTATTATAATAAGTGGAACAATAAATAATAGAAACATAAATATTTTCTGCACAGAAAGGGGCCACTCAGCCATTGTGTCTGTTTCACTGCTACATTGTCTTTCTTCTAATGAAATGAATCCCACTTTCCTGTTCTCTCCCCGTGTCCCTTAAATGTTTTTACTACTAAGGTTTTTACATTGATTCCATAAAAGAGTGTGGGAGAGAGGGCAGGGGGGCAGGCCTAATGGATAACCGGGTTTCTACTTATTACCAGGTACAACAACAAGATTCCATTTATAAAGCGCCTTTCACGTCAGGAGGACGTCCCAAGGCGCTGCACAGTTGGGTCATGACCCGAGCAGGGGGGAAATGGTCAGAGGCGTAAACAGAGGCGTGTGGAGTAAGGAAACGTTCCTAAAGTTCTGACCTGTCCGGGTGGTCAATAATCGAGCCCTCTCGCTTGCGAGGCAAGTGCTTTGACCAACACGCTACGGGACTCCACAAATTCTTTGTAACCACTGGATTGTTTAAAAGAAAACAAAGGGGGCTCATGATTGATCTCGAAACTTGCTTTGGGGTTTGAAACCATATAAGCAATCCCTTGTCTCTCTGTTTTAGGACAATGCCCAAACTGTAGGTTCCCCCCACCCCCCCAATGACAACCCCTCTGTTGATCCTCACCTTCCTGTAGGCTTTGTACACAGTGGCATAGGTGCCACTGCCCAGTCTCTCGGTCAGGATAAAACCTTCCAATTTGGGTGGAGCGCAAGCAGCAGCCATCCTGGGCTCCCATACAGCCACCACCCCCCGACTTAGGGAGTGTGTGTTTATGTGTGTGTGTGTTTATGTGTGTGTGTGTGTGTTTATGTGTGTGTGTATGTGTTTGTGTGTGTTTATGTGTGTGTTTGTGTCTGTGTGTGTGTTTGTGTCTGTGTGTGTCTATGTGTCTGTGTGTGTCTATGTGTGTGTGTCTATGTGTGTGTGTCTATGTGTGTCTATGTGTGTGTGTGTCTATGTGTGTGTGTGTGTGTTTATGTGTGTGTGTCTATGTGTGTGTGTATGTTTATGTGTGTGTGTGTGTCTATGTGTGTGTGTGTCTATGTGTGTGTGTGTGTTTATGTGTGTGTGTGTCTATGTGTGTGTGTGTGTTTATGTGTGTGTGTGTGTGTATGTGTGTGTCTATGTGTATGTGTGTGTTTATGTGTGTGTGTGTTTATGTGTGTGTCTATGTGTATGTGTGTGTTTATGTGTGTGTGTGTTTATGTGTGTGTGTATATGTGTGTGGGGGGTAGCACCAGTCTGGGGGTGAAGCTAATCCAGGAGATGGTCAATGCCCTCGGGCAGCACAGCAACACATCCCACTCTCTGCAGCCGCTCCTTTCGCTTTCCTTCGTCCCACAAACAGAAACAGAAGCCTCTGCAACGCGCACCGCTTCCCTCCGTATACAGAGTAACGCTTCCGGGGGAACGCGAAAGGCAGAAATAGCTCAGGGTTCGCAACCCCAACCCCAGCCCCCACCCCCAGCCCCCACCCCCCAACCCCAGCACCAGCCCCCACCCCCAACCCCAGCACCAGCCCCCACCCCCCAACCCCAGCCCCCACCCCCCAGCACCAGCCCCCACCCCCCAACCCCAACCAACAGCTCAATGGCATAACTGGAACCAACCTTTGCAAACGTGTGCGCGGATCTCACGGTTAAGTGTTTGTTGCAAACACACCTTCCGCTGCACTGCGCGAATTGTGGTTCGGAACCTCTTATTTTTGTTTGCGCGGTGCCCGGTGTCAACATTCAGCGCATTAAACTGTCTGCTCGGGAGCATCACAGCTGATGGTCCTTTGCAAAACATCCCCCGGTTTGCAGCGGCAGTATTCGTGTGTGGATTTGAAGGCGTAGATTTTTTAAAAATATATTTATGTATATATATATATATAAACAGCGACATTAAGCAGCTCAATAGCTGTGGGAGGGGTTCTATATGAATCGCCTCCGAAAGCTCTCCACGTCTTTTTATCGCTGCGAATGCGCATTTTAGATACCGGATCCAGGCTGTCCATGACCCTGATGTGCTCACTGCTCAATCATCATCATCATCATCATAATCTTTGCATTCGGTGTTAGCATTGAGATGTCCCAAAATAATGAACTCGGAAATCAGTTTAATAAAGAGCACCGGAATCTGTATATCTTCAGCTGTGTATCTTTGCAACGATGCATCCAATTTATACCCAGTGCGAATCTGAGCTCATCCTTACAGCTGTTTAAACAGCCAAACCACTGACTTTCATGCATCAGTGGTGTTCTTGTGATAATTGGGAACCACGAAAGAATAGGGGAACCTGGTTCCAATTCAGTTTGGCCTCAGCAGCAACCTGATCACCTTCAAAGACTGATCCACTCAGTTAGCAAACGCTTAACTGGTGCTAACAATTGGTTGCTTTCAGACTTTATAATAATAATCGCTCCAAAACAAAAAACAATAATAAATTGGTCATTTTCAATCTACGACTGTTTGTGGGACACTGCTGTGCGCAATTGGCTGTTTCGTTCGCCCACAAATATACAGTCAATTCACTTTACAGTATATTCTGCGAAGCGATTTGGGACATCCTCCCACCGTGAAAAGCGCGATATCAAATGCAAGGATTATTAGGATTATTATTTATTCTCTCCCCTGAATATGACGGAGTCTTACACCTCTAAAGAGGTCGTTTTTCTAATTGTTGTTTGAACCAGCAGGAGGGAGCAACTAACCATTGCTGCTGCTGAGATCTCGGGAGTGGGTTGTACTTTACTGTACTGCTCCCTGAATTGTTGGTTTATTTCCTGGGTCATTTATAGCTGAAGGAGACTCACTATGTAAATTTGAGAATAGGGTGTGGGTGACAGCATGAAACTACCATTGATTAGCATAAAAGTGGTCATTTAGCAGAGGTGACAGCTGCTCTAGGAAATAGAACGTGTCTGGTTGATGCAATAGGGATGGTTTTGCAATAGAAAGCTATTTGCTTTAAGGCAGGGAGAGGGAGAGCCGTCATTCCTTCCTGCCCAGTTTTCCCCTGTAAAGTTGCTCTTACAACCTTACAGAGGCCCTCGGGGTAGGTGTGAGCTACATAACCGGGTATTCCTGCATGAATGGCACACCTCAAAACCACCAATCAACACTTTAAGTTTGTCAGTCTGGGAACAAACCCACAATAGAAATACACACTTCATCTCCTCCCAGTGCCGTTTTACTTGTCTTTCAGCCAAGATTGACCAACTAACTAGTATTGTATTAGCCTTGTATATTAACCTAGATGTTTATTCTGCTGGCTCAAACATCATGAATTCTTTATAAGGTTAAGAGTTTCTGACCTTATGCAGAAGACTTCACATACAACAACATACTTCAAGTATCATGGAGGAAATCCACAAACAACCCAACAACATAACCAATGCTAATTCGGATAGAGAAGGTTGTCCACCCGAAATTAGGATAACATCCTTTGCAACAGAATCTGATATTCAAGAGAAATAATTTGTTTGGAGTAAGTTAAGGATTGAACGCTGAAGTTTCAGAGATAGCAAGTATGGAGGCATCCAAAACAGATCCACACAGGTATAAAACTGAATCCAGAAATGCAAGAAAAACACAATTTGTTTAAATCCAAAACACCAGCATTGGTGGATTCCAATACACTGGGTACAATGGCAGAGGCAAGTTGGTTCCACTTGGTCATCTACACTGCAAATCTCTGATCAAACTATGCTGTGAAAGGGAAGCAGTCGACAAGAGGTCAAGTGTTGTTTCTGGAGGAAGGCGCACAGTGAGAAACAGTAAAGGAAAATCAAGTGACACAGGATTCCTTGCATTCTCATGGTGCTAGATTCATATTATTGTTGGCAGAAATTTGGCAGCAGCACACTTTACTGATTTCTTGATCAAAGCATTCTTCGGGAAAAGGTTTTGATCAAAGAGTTTTCGATTTTTCCATGGTCTTTTCAACAATAAACACAGGATGCAATTAAAATCAGATTTACTGCTTCACCTGGTCCACAGAGTAAGTCTACGAATGGTAACTGGGTTAAAGGGCTTTATTTAAGCACAAATGTTTTAAAGGATTTACATGGATTTTTGTAGAACAATGAAAAGGCACCACCCTACACATTCTATAAGAGAGAACATTCAGAGAACATTCCACATACATTTTTCAGATCAAAAAATTACATCAGCTCATTTGTTATTATTTGTAATACATACAATATTCAATTATAAAGACATCCAATTAAATTCTAGAAACTCCCAAGGGCATTGTTGAGCAACAATCCCTAAAATAGATATTTTACTACTTTCCATCTAAATTTGTACTATGTTGATGCACCCATAACTCAACTTTTTAGCATAGCACTGAACCATGCCTGATCAACCTGCAGAACGGGAGATGTCTGAATAATTCAAATAAGTTTCGCAACTGCCTGTACTCTGGATAACACTTTGGTTGCAATTACACTATACAGTACAAAATAGCCCTTGGAGTTTACAAATGGTGAATGATTTTACAATGAACAAAAAGGCATGAGAATGAGACAATGTGGAAGTACTGTACTAGTCATAATTAAACCAGGCTGGAGCTATAGTGATAAGAGCATTGACTTCCACAACAGGAGACTGGAGATCAGATGCCAGACTCAACCAAAATTTGCAGTTGGCTTTTCCAGAGAGGGCAGTTTAGGCAGTCATGGCATGAGTGGGCAGTTTTGGTGTAAGGAATTAGATTAAGGTCAGGGAGTGGGTGAGAAACAAGTGAGACACACAGCTTGTGATGAAACAACCAGAGCAGTAGTCACATACATTCAGACTGGACTGTCCTGCTTGCCAGAGGAGAATTGGAGTTTTCTTTGAGGGAAGAGAAAAAGAGGAAAAAGTACAATGCATGAACAAAAACCAATACTTTTGACTGTCAAGGTTTTGGAATACAAATGATTTAAAAAGGAATCCAAGGTGGGAAGTCCTGATTTAATAACTTTTCTCAATATGTTGGTAGTTAGGGATCCACTGCACAATGTGAATAAGGCATCAAACTAATTCTTAGTTAATCTCATCAAAAGGAGGTGTATGCGTGTGTGTGTGTGAAACTGAGAAGGGGACAGTAAAGGGAATTTTTTCCCCCTCAAGCATAAAGTAACACGAAGAGAAAGCATTTCAAATGCACTGTATGAAGCTCAGTTAAGAGTCTACACATCAAATCAAAATTTCATCTGAACAGCAAGTAAAACACTTGGGATATCTTACAATTATTCTATTCATAAGATTTCATTGGGTACAATTTAAAAAGGAAATGGTCTGTACAGACATGATTCTTAGAATGGAATTAGTGTTTCTGGGAACACAGCAAGCAAAACTATAAATGGTTTAATGGGAAAAAAATACAAATGAATATTAATATTTACTAAAAAACATACCTTAAATACCCCAAAATACTCAGTTTCCATACAGCTGATTTTTTTTTACAGAAGAAAAAGCATCACATCATGAATTACTTTAATATTTCCTTATAATCGGAGGCCTTTTCTGTACTTGAAGCTTTCTGTAACACTACTAGATCAAAGATGCTGCCAGTTTTGTAGCACAGTACCATTTCTATGTCTGAAAAAAAATCTTCTGAACCAAAATTAAAGTCCTCCTCCACCCAAAGGTTTATACAGGATGAATGTAATGCTTTAGGATTACAGCAGATTCAAACACATTGTACACAAGGCCATAGTGTTCAACAATACGTCAGATAAAATTTGATGCCATTAAATTTGATGGTCGTTAAATCCCCATTCCTTACAAAATTATTTTTCTTTTTAAAAAGTTAGCTTGATACATACATCTCTTGATTTTATTAGTACATTGGCCAATGATCCTTCATAAACAAGAAAAATGTGAAAAAATATATTTTTCCGAGCACTGTTTTCCTAGACAACACCAAAACCATATTTTTAAACTCTTTGATTGAAGCCAACTATGCTTTTCCAAATTCATGCAAGTAGGCACACAAATACACATCTTTGTCCAATGAAAGTGCATGTTTATAAAGCTCGTACAAAGAGAAAGGATGAAAAACAGTATCCAATATTTAGTTTCCTTGGAAGGAATTCTGTGCAGCAGCAGTTGCAGCAGAAGTAGCAGCGTTGCGTACAGTTCTGTTTGCGAAGAAATCTTGTGAGAATTCTTCCTGTGCTCTTTGAAAGCTGGCACCTGTTCTGCGGAAAATGGAATGCACCTGGGCAGTGAGAAACAGAGGGAAAAACTCGAATTATGATCCTTTCATTTGATATAGCGCTTTATCACATCTTCGAGACGTCTCAAAGCGCTTCACAGTCTTTACTGTAAAGCGAATTGACTATATATTTTTATGGCAGCAAAAATGAATGAAGAATGAATAAGCTTGAAGAATAGACATTGAACTAAGTGCACCAGGGAAACTGTACCACTGCAGAAGGACATTTTATGCTTCAGAGTTTTTTTTAAAAAAAAGATTGAAATAGGCAGTTCTGTCACAATACAGGCTAATCCGCTGCGACATGATGATTGTATAGCAGGTCCACTTAAAGCATGGTGACACGATGGACCCATGGTATCCACCTTTCAGTACTGACTGGTCAGTTTCCTGTGCTAGCACAATATCAGTGGGAATCTGATAACCTGAGAATGCTGACCCCTGGCCATTTTGAAAAGGTGGCCTGTTACAACATGGGGGAGAATTTATGGACCAAAACCACTATATTAACTGGAATCAGCCTGTAGTAACGAGTACAACTCGCTCTTCCAGCGACTATGTATATGGTTAATTCAGCTAGCTAGAATATGGAGGGCAAACATGCACTTAAAATTGTGAAACAATACATTTGAATGAATCTACTAATAACTTCTGCATTTTAGGGCATGGGGGGGGGGGGGGGGGAAGAGGGTGGGGAGGAGAAAAAGAGCTCCTCGCCCTCCACAGTTCCTGCACTCACAGAATTGGGTTTATAGATTCATTCTTACCCTTTGCAGCAAAACCAAGGACAAGACTGAGCACAATGTGAAGAAGGCTGCCACCACCATCATAATGACAGCCACGGCGATGTTAGAGCTAATCCAACTCAAAGCTGCAATCCAGCCACTGGAAACGGAACAAAATTGCGCTTCAGTAACTATGTGTTTTTTAATATATGAAAGACTAAGAAGATAAATGGTTGAAGGTCACTGCAAATCAAACATTGTGAAATGTGTAAGTGAAAAAGATCAGATTCTGCAAATCACACAGAGTGGGTTAATAAAAAAAGTAGCAGTAAGAAGGAGTGGTCAGTATAAGAGATACGTGCCTTTGGAATGACTAGAAAGAGGCAGCATGAAAGAGGTCTCAACAACTGCCTTACAGGCTGCTGAAATCTGTTGAGAGGATATACAGAAAGATGCAGAAAAGGCAACAGATAGCTTACAAAGAAATTTCACACTGAAGAAACCCAATTTTCAAGTCAGCGGTGAACAAATGCTTACCTGACGCCCCATTTGGGGATTCCCACTGTCTGGATGATGTAAAGAATAATTTGGCAGAAGAACACAAAGAAGAAGAAAAAGAAGTTGAATGAACTGTCAGACCTGAAAAGAAAAAAAGATATATTTTAATATACCACTACTTGTAGCTTTGACAACCTAAAAGGAAAATAAGCAGAATTTATAAGTTACATTTTTTTTAAATGGAAAGATCTAATGCAGAAATTTGGAACAAGAGCCTTTTTACCTTTAGTGATTCACAGTGATGTGTGAAATCATCAATTCACTGGAATCCCAACAACAAAAAAGCATGTGAGGAAGAGCTGGTAAGCAGAATTATAAAAGGCCGTAGACACAATGTGTTGAAAAGATCTTTATTACCCCAATGGACATGAAATTTCACAGAGCAGAATCGCAACCTGTGAAGTAATTCTTAATAAGTAATACACAAATACAAACTAAAGAAAATGTTCTGACGATAGGTCATAGAGCTGAAACATTAACTATTTTCCTGTCTCCATGGATGCTGCCTGACCTGCTGCGTGTTCCCAGAAACCTCTGTGTTTTTACCAGATTTCCAGCATCTGCAGTATTTTGTTTAAAGAAAATGTTTGTTCACAGTTGCGAATCTTGAGTATTTAAAGGTGACACACATCTATATCGGACTGGTCCTCAGTCTTGTGTGCATCCCTGGATACACACCTACCTCAGACACAAAGGGGTTCAGACCAATGCCTAGAATCATCTCAATGACCCTTCTTTAGGAAGGTGGAAAAGCTTTTTAAGGGAGTGTAGGAAAAAAGGAAGCTGCAATTATATCTCTCACAAGTATCTGATTAGAATGCAGCCCAAACCCTTCATTTTAGTATGGATATATTTTAAAAATCCCACTGCAACTTACCTGAAAGCCTTGTAAATTGGCCTGTACCAGCAGATGAAAGCACAAGGAGTGAAGAGTAAAAACCATAAGATTGCCAAGCCAAAGTCTACTCCATACTCTGGCTTAACAATAAACTCAGCCAGGCAAGCCAGAAGATTCAAGAAGAGTGTAAATGAATGAACTGTTGGAAAGATAGAGAAAAAAATTATATGTACCAAATGTAACAAAAAGCACCTTTCAAAAGTATATTGAATGATACAAGTTGTCTTCCAAAGTTTTCCCAAAGCAATTTATTGGCGGAAAATCTACTGGAATTCACTTCCTATTTGGAGGTTGGGGCATTCAGAATGAATGTCACAAACAATTGAGAACTGCTGTAGAGTGTTTGCAAATCTTACCAATGCTGGTATGAAAGATACAACATTACGGCTATTAGAAAAACAGGACAATTAACATATATTTTGTTTACAGGGAACAAAAAAAGCAAAGAGCAATGGAGCACAAGGCAATTGTTCGTCAAGAAAAGGCAACATTCCACATGATTAATAAAACATAGCTTTTGCCATGAAAAAAAAACAAGATGATGTTCATTTGGTTACTTATGAAATGATTGAAAAAAATGGCATAAAACAACCTCTAAATCTGTACAGTACAATCCCTTTGTGACTCCAGTTTAGTACAGGTAGTACAAAACTGAACTGAATTATAAATGAAATCAGACTTTAGGCAGTTTGTCTTTATATATACACATTTTTAAAAATGAAACATGACAATTATTTTTTGTGAAATATTTGGATATTCAATAAATTATGCAGATCGTTGAGACAGATTACATTATTATGGTTTTGGTTTAAAAAATCTTATTTGACGTTCCTAATATTTTCTCATAATATTGGAATGAAGAACTAAACATCATCAAAATAGTTAAAACTTACACATCCACAAGTAGTACAACATTTTAACGACCGTCTGTAAACCTGCTGGGATTTCTCCTGAAAAGTCCTGGTAAAAGCAGGGTTTGATGGGACAAAATGCAGGAAATGGTGGCCAGTTATTTCTTTTCGCTGCGAGGAAAAGCAAAAAAGTATTATTTAAATACACTTTAAAATGTCAGCATTGATCCAGTGACACATACATTGACATTCTCCATAGAAAAAAAGAATATCCTTTTTGTCTTGTTTCAATATTTTAATAATAGAAACCCACTGCTATTTGTGAAAGCACAATCAGACTGCAATCCAAATACTGTGTTCCAACATGCGATGTTGCTCAGCCAAGCTCTGTAATGCTTATACATAGATTTATCAACAGGTTAGCATTTCCTTACGATTATAGTTTTCATTCAACTCTTGCTCCTTGCGATCCAGTTCTGCAGCTTTTTTCTCCAGCTCTTCCTGCTGCCGAAGCAGCGCCAATTGTGCAGCTGAAGCAGTGGCCTGAATAGCACAGAGACAACATAAGTGATGGTGAAAGTTGATACTGCTGTAGAAAGATGCAATAGTTATTGATCAGATGTCTATTTCCCGTTTCTCACACCCTAAAGGAACCTTCAATTTGTCACAAGCTGTGTGTGGTTTACCTTAGCGAGTAGTCTAAGATCATTTGATTCAGTCAAAGTGAAAACCGTCACATCTTTTTTGGGACAACAAAGTTAGTAATAAAACCTGAGGGTTAGTACATTTCTCCACAACAAAGTTTGAAGTTTCCATGAGATGGAAGACTGACAATCCATGTCACCTCCTATTCTAGTCCTCCCCAACTTAGTCAGCTACTGAAAAAGGTCCCACCCAAGTTTTCTGGGCCTGATCACTCTGCCAGGTTATTTTGGATATTTTTGGGAGTCAGAAGATTCCTATGACCCAAAAAAGGAATCCTGTCATCTTCTAAATTTGAGGCAACTGCTTGAGTTTGCAATAGAGCAGATCAGCTTAACGACCACGTTGGGAATGCTTTGAACAGTCTATTGGTTTCTTAAAACTCTGCTTCCTAGAGTTCAAAGTTTACATGACATGGTCCACACAGGATAGGGAAATTAGCTTTGATGGTATGGTAACCCCGAGCACTGTTCTATTCATCACAATAAACACCCAGTTTGTGGCAAATTTAACTCACTCAGATTGGCAAACTCTCACACAGGGAGAATATGCGTAATCTGCTCTCGACAAAATCACTCAACTTTTGAGTATTTTTTCTGATGCGGGGTTTACCATTTTTATATTGTATAATGTTATTGAAGAATCCACAACAGGAATAAAACCATTATAAATAGACTAACATTGTAAACAAAAACTGGTTAAAATGGCAATGCTAAACTTTTTCTGGAATACCGACAACAGAGTGAAGTGCTGAATTCTGTAGAACAAAACTGGAGTTAAATTTGAAAAAGGAGTTACTAAGTATATGTTGGTCAATTTAGTGCCAAATTTTTGAAGGGTAAATGAAAGACATTCAGTTAGCCTTGAGAATGTTGCTTCATTTTTAAAACAAGCTTATGGTTACTATTTTATAATATCTACTTGTTCAGGATACAGCTAGTTTTCCTACCTGATCCTGCCTTCCTTCTCACCTTGTCTTTATATGGAAAAGGGTTTCCCCCTAGTAACCTGAAGCTCTCTGAATATTTGTCATTGGTTAACGGACTGGATAAGGTTGTCAGAAACTTCCTGGCCTGATGTAATAGTAGCATCTGCAATACACACTTAGTCAGTCTCATCTGCATAATCGTCAGAAAATACCCATCTCAAAAGTTCTAACTTAAGCATACCATATAGTGCTGAATTCAAATCATACCTTTATTGATTATAATGGAATAAATCATATTTGTGGATGCCATCGCCAAAGGCAACACAGAGCAGAATTTCAGTTCAATGGCTTAAAAACGGTATCCTTTATTGACATTAGTCACATAGTGGGGAAGGGGAAACATAATGCATGGGAAAATTCTAAATCTGCCCAATATATCTTTATGTTAGATCACATCCAATTTAAGCACAGAAACCTTATACATTCAAGGCAAAGTGAACTTTTCAGGCAGACAACAATATAATGAGCATTTTCATACAAGCCTATATACTTAAAATGAAAATTCTAATTTTATTTAATTCTAATTAATTTCTAATTTAATTGAAAGCATTCCGACACACTATCCTGTGCTGTATAAATACAAGTTGTTGTTGGTAACTGTAAAGTCACAGATATGTACACTTATTTGGGTGCACTAGTTAAGTGGGAGCCAGTGACTAGTTTACACTCACTTCTGCGTTTGGATACAAAAATCAAGACAGGAATTTCTATTTCTATGAATTGACAACAGGATTTTCTATCTACCTACTAAAGGCTAAAGAATTCCTCCTTGTGCAGATTCAAAACAGGAGGTAAAGCGGCTTTTGCCATAAATGTAAACTATTTACTAAATATTGCACCATATATAGAGAACTATAAGACTTAAAGAGTTTATTGCAGAACTTGTTAAGTACCGATTTATCTTGTCTTTGAACAGTCAATTGAAAAGCTCAATTTTGCAATCCTGGACAGAAAAAGAAAAATTGACTAATACCAGAACCCCCTTTTTGTAATTATTGGGATCCACAATATCTTTCTTGCGTTTCCACATACTGTTGATATTAATATAGTCAGTGCTCCTTCAAACAACAAAAAATTGCATTTATATAGTGCCTCTCACGTCGGGAGGACGTATTGAGAACCAAACTGTCCTATGCTGTCTTTAGCAAGCTCTAAAAATGCTGCCAATACATGATGTAAACACAGTGCTTTACCTGAGGGCTGGGCTCTACTGTAGGTTGCAGGATAGCCGGCTGAGAAGGAGTCTTCTGTGCAGCTGGCACTGTGGTACCCAATGTGGGAGTCTAAAACAAAAAATTGTAGATGAGAAAAAAACAAAATGCCAATCTTGTTTGAAACCAATGTTAACACAACTCAAATCCATGTGGGAGAGAAAATCAAGGTGAGAGAGAAATATTAGGAAGAAAGAAAAGGGTTGGTACAATGTGCTACCATAGACACAGTACAACCCCTGATGAAAATTATTTTGGTTAATAAAAAATCCCAATAAGTTTAAAAATTTTGTTTGGGCTTATACAGGAGAACAGGATCCAGGCGGTAATTGGCTATTGTAACTGTCAATCATCGGGTACAATACAATTTACTTTTACCTAGTTCCTTTCATGTTGGGATGATGTTCTACAAGTATACCTATTTATTTGCTATATCTGAAATAAGAGCACTTCAGGTGGAGCTGGGAAAACAACTAGCAACAATTTTGAAATGAGCATACCAGCCGAGTGTTTTCACTGAATGGATTGAAATCCTCAATTCCTTCTTTATTGCCTTGAGTTAGCTGGGTTACTGATGGATCCTGTGAACAGAGAAAATGATGGATGAGAAGATGTGTATTATTGATGGTTAAATGTCCCATTATTGTACCAATACAAAAGAAACTTCTTCCTCTCTTTGCCTTCCCGTCATGGATAACCAACCTTGAATCAGCATAGAATAATCAGGAAAGACTCCAGGGCTACTATTACTGTTTCATATTTCTTTCCAATTTTCTCCTCTTGTGTGCTGAAGGTGCTGACTTAACCTGGAGGTGCGGTTACACAGATACCAGCAGCCGTCTGGTCCAACTGGTTTTTTTTCATGATCCTACACTGAAGATTCGCAATCTACCAACCTTATGGAACTCCACAATTGAATCTCATCCTGTCCAGCTGTCCAAAAACACACATTTTCCAGCAGGAGACTTCCCAATCCAGGGACACTGAGTGCAATTCACATTTATCATAATTCCTGACTGAGATTGACAAACTCAGCAAAGAACAAGCATTTTAGAAATGTTTCAGCAATACACTGTGTACTGGACATAAATTTGTACAGTAATTAGCTGTAGTTTCAATCATATCTTAATCAACAGTACTATAAATGTCAAGCAGGGAAATTTTACTTTTAACTATCTTTCTATGGCATCATAGCAAAAGTCAGCTGGGACTATGTTAAGAGAAAGACAGCTCCCTGTAACAGTGCCAACTACATTTTTTAAAAAAAGTACCAGCAAGCAGACACTTGGCAATGATTACCGTAGGCCAACAGTAATATGCTTCTGCTCTACTTTCTTGGCAAATGACAAGTCTCTGAGGCTAAACAGAGAAGGTATTTAACTGAACCACACATTACTTTTGAAAGTAGGTTGTTTCGAAGTGGGGAATCTGCAACTCATAAGAGGTTAAAGGATAGTGCGTGATTAATACTCCTTCAGTTCATTTAAAAAACAAGATTGTTTTAATAGTTCAGTGAGTGTAAATATGTATTTGGTGTGGTATTTATGTCACACTTTCTATCACTAGTTGGTGCTGAATTCTCTAATCTGAGCTGGATCACTTGAGTAAGTGATGCAATTGATCTCAGTAGAAATGGGGGATAGGGTGGGGGGAATGAAGAAGAGCGCTTCACAGTAACGGATCCCGGGACCGAGCCAGGGGGAGGGGGAGGAAGGTGACCAAAGGCGCGGTCGAAAAGAAAGGTCTTCAGCAGAGACCTGAAAATAGGAAGAGAGGGAGCGAGGCGAAGGGAGTGAGGAAGGCAGTTCCAGAACCTCAGGGCATAGTGGCTGAAGGCCCGGCCGCTGAGGGTGGAGCGGAAGACTTGGGGGACAAGGAGGAGCCAGACCCAGAGGAACGAAGGCAACAGTCACTGTTTTGAGGAGAGAGGAGGTCAGAGAGGTAGGGTGGTGCAGAGGAGTGCAGGGATTTGAAGACAAGGGTGAGGATCTTGAAGTCGATCCTCTCTGGGACAGGCAGCCAGTGCAGTCTGGCAAGGACTGGGGTAATCGGGGAGCGGAGTTTGGTGCGGGTGAGAATGTGGGCAGCAGAGTTTTGAATAATTTAGATTTTGTGGATGGTAGTGGAGGGGAGGCCGGCGAGGAGGGCGTTAGAATAGTCCAGCCGAGAGGTGACAAAAGGCATGGACCAGGGTTTCAGCGGCTTTTGGAAAGTTATTGGCAGAGACGGGTGATGCTTCGGAGGTGGAAGAAGGCAGTGCTGGTGAGGGACCAGATGTGGGGGAGGAAGGATAATTGGGGGTCGAAGCTGACGCCTAGTTTGCATAAATCCATACATCGTTTACAAGCCCTTATGAAGTAAAAATGAAAATGACAAGTTTGAAGACGTGCAATTATGTCATATTAGGAGTAGATCTTGTTTCATGTAACTATTTTTTGATGCTATATTTTCCACTTTATTAATTAAACATACACATAACATAGAAAATAATTGATGTCAAAAACTTTTGAAGTTTAACAATCAGATTTACAAAATGAGGAAAGAGTTCAATGAGAAATTGCATCACACATAACAGCACATTACTGTGGTGAGGAAATTTGTCTCACTTTCTGGTTATTATGAAAGATCTTACACGGCCTTCAAGCAAACCTCGTCACTCTCCTTCATGTATCTTTACATTTTTGTTCCTCCTCGTTACTCTCCATTATAATTACTTTTTATGGACCATCTTACAATTAGACCAGATTAGACCTAAAACTGCTATCTGGCAGACCAAGTTAGGCCAATCACCGCACTTAGCAATTAACAAATTATGTAAATTCACAAACAAGTAAACCAAACATCACGATGCTTGAATTGAAGAAAGGTAAGTTTGCAGCCCTGTGCCAAGTGATTCATTTTTCAAATTTTCAATGATATTTAATTGAACACCCTAGATCCCAAGACCCTATAAATCTCTAACATTCAACGCCCATGCACCAAGCACTTTTCTCCAGAACTAAAGCTATAGTGTAAGAATTTAACAGCTCTACGATAAATACCACATATTTCACTGCACACATCTCAACTGCATACTTCCAAACTGCACCACCAAACCAATAAGTACAGTAAAGTTTGGAATGCCAAAAACACTGGGGACATGGATTTTGCTTGCTCCAGTGTTTATAAGATAAATGTCGTTTTGTGACATTCTGAAGAAATTTTAACTGGGGGTTACAAAGACTTTGTGCAGACATTATTGTAGGTGCAGATAGCTGCTAAGCTTAGAGCATTGTAGTGTGGCAGCTGCTTCCCTCATGAATGTCTAAAATTAGACATTAGAATGGTGATCCCTCTAATGTCGCACACTACCGCCCCATTTCCGACCTACCCTTCCTTACCAAAGTCCCGAAACGCATTGTTGCAGGTCAACTTGGGTCACACCTCTCCCTCCACTCCCTCCTCGAGCCCCTGCAGTCTGGTTTTCGCCCTGCCCACAGCACAGAGACAGCGCTTGTCAAAGTCACAAACGACATTCTCTCTATCTGTGACCAGGGCTCCCTCTGCCTCCTCGTCCTCCTGGATCTCTCTGCCGCGTTCGACACAATCGACTGTCCCATCCTCCTCCATCGGCTCTCGTCCCTCATTTACCTTAGTGGGATCACATTTGTATGGTTCGAGTCCTACTTAACCAACCGCCTCCATTTCATCTCAGCAAATGGTTTCTCTTCCAGCAGGGTACCCCAGGGCTCTATCCTTAGCCCTCTTCTTTGCCTTATCTGATTCTGGTCTGCTCTTCCAAGTCTTGCTGATGAGATTATCAATAATAATATTCCTTGAATGTGATATGAACCATCCATCGTCTAAGATATGCGATGTTAAATTAAGGTCCCTTCTCCCTTTTCAGATGGATATTAAAGATCACTGTTCAAAAAAAAATCATCCCGATTGGCTCACCCCAGAGCCTCAGCACCTCAGGCTCTGGCAACATCAACCTCCATGGTTACACATTACAATTCACCAAGCCAGTCAGGAACCTGGGTGTCTTGTTCGACCCTCAACTGTCTTTTCCCACCCACATTCAAGCCATGACCCGCTTTGCCTTCCCTCACCTGCGTAACATCGCCCAACTCTGCCACTACCTTCAACCCTCAGGCCGCTGAAACTCCCCCACTCTCGCCCGACTCCACTGGCTCCCTATCCTTCAGAGGATCCAGTTCAAGATCCTGGTCCTCACAAACAAAGCCCTCCATGGCCTCGCCCCACCCTACCTCTGCGACCTCCTGACCCCCTACCAACCCGCACGTTCCCTCCTCTCAGCCGGCTCTGGCCTGCTCCACGTCCCCCGAACCCACCCGCCCCACCATTGGCGGGAGAGCCTTCAGCCACTCTGCCCCCAACCTCTGGAATTCCATCCCCCATAAACTCCGCCTCGCCAGCTCCATAGCCTCCTTCAAGTCCCGCCTCAAGACTCTCCTCTTCGATCATGCCATCGGCCACCCCCCTTCCCCTCCCCTCCCTTACCCCCCCCAACCCCAGCTCGGGTCTGAAATGCTGTACTCTGACCAGCGCCTTGGGACGTCCTCCCGACGTGAAAGGCACTATACAAATGTAATCTTGTTGTTGTTATCTGTATGCTTCCTCTGGGCAATGTCATCCGCAGACACGGGATAAACTTCCACATGTATGTGGTTGACACACAAATCTACTTTGCCTCCACCAGTACCAACTCCAGGTCCGCCGATGTTCTATCAGCTTGTCTGGCAGACATCAAGGCCTGGATGAGTGTAAACTTCCTGCAGCTGAATATGGACAAGACGGAAGCCATACTCCTTAACTCCCGTCAACGTCTTCACTCCTGCGGATCTAAACTCCTCAACCTCCCTGGGCTCTCTGTCAGACTCACCGAACCTAGGTGTCAGGTTTGACCCCCAACTGTCCTTTCTTCCCCACATCTGGTCCCTGACCAGTACCGCTTTCTTCCACTTCCGCCACATTGCCCGCCTCTGACCGTACTTTACCTCAAATGCAGGCGAAATCCTCGTGCGTGCGTTTGTCATCCCCCGCTTGGATTACTCCAATGCACATCTCGCTGGTCTCCCCAGCTCCACCATTCACAAGATTCAGCTGATTCAAAACTCTGCTGTCCCCACACTGACCCGGACCAAACGCCGTATCCACATCTCACCAGTTCTGGCCAGGCTGCACTGGCTCCCCATCACCGAATAGATCGTCTTACATATCCTCATTCTCATGTTCAAATCCATTCACTCCCTGCATCTCCCTCTCCAATCTCATCACTCCACCATCCGGCGCCTCTGCTCAACTGGCACCGGCCTCTTGCTCATCCCTTGCAACCTCCGTCCCACCATCGGAGGTCGTGCTTTCAACCACTACATCCCAAAACTCTGAAACACTCCCTCAATCCCTGCATGGAGGGCACTATATAAGTGCCAGTTGTTGTAGTGATCATGGTAAACAGCAGAAGTGTAATCTCAGATAGAGACAGGGAAAGAATGTGTTTCAAGCATTTAGTTTTCTTCTACTGAACTATGAGCCTGATCAATATGGTACAGTATTGCAGCATATGATAGATTTACTCAAGAGTCGCACAGAAGTTTTGTTTAATATCTAGAGTAATTAAGCCTGAGCAGATGATAAATTGAATCTAAACCATAAAAATGAAGACATAGCAAACAAATTCTTGTCGTATCTGGTGTTTGGTAAAATAGGGGCACTACAAATGTCCTCTGCACTTACAATTGGGAAAACAAATCCCTGCTAGTACCTACATATGTGGGTGGGACTTTTGGTTGAAGGTGGAACCCAGATTGGTTGTCATACATGATTGAAATAGTCTGCTCATATTCACTGTCAAGGCTCATAGATGATCACTTGGGCAATCACAGGATCCCCAATCCAGTAGTATAGGGGGGGGGGAATCAAATACTATTGGGAGATCTCTTAAAAAGGGAAGATCATAAAAAAAACATCAATTTCAATTACTCATTGAAATTGATGGTTCTGACGAAGGGTCATGGACCTGAAACTTTGACTGACTTTCCTTTCTCCATAGATGCTGCCTGACCTGCTGAGTGCTCCCAGCGACTTCTACTTTGGTTTCGGCTTTCCAGCATCTGCAGTATTTGTCAATTACTGATTACTTGGGTAAGATCTAAGATGAAAGCTATGCACCCTGGCCTTTAATTCACCAAGCAACCTCAGCCCCCAAACATATCAGACAACTAAATCATAAAACCCCCTGTAGTGCTATCCCGCACTGAGTCCATTAGAACCCTTTCCCAAAGGCCCTTTACTTCTGGTACTTGTTGTCGACTCTTGAAACCAGGTTACGCCTAAGAAACACAACCCTATGATGACGCAACCTAACTTGAAAGAGACGGTCCCGCCCTTCTCGGCGCCCGATTGGCTCAGAATTCAGAAGCCTGCCTCTCCGATTGGTCGAAAGCTCACATCAATCGAGGCACATCACCAGCCATCAGGTTAGGTTTCACTCAGGAATGTTTCCCTCAGCTCCCAGGGCCCAACTGCCACCCCCCCCAACTGACTTGTTGATTCGCTCAATCCCCTCAACTTTCGGGAGAACGAATTTACCTGAAAAGGATTGATATCCACCGGGTCGGCGAAGGGGTTCGCTTCGAATCCAGACATGTTTGGCTGAATCGTGGACACCGGACGCCCCCAACCCCCTGTTGCTTCTCCGCCCGCGCTTCCTTGTGCCGCAAACTTCCGCCAACGCCGAACTGCGCCTGCGCGTTGCCCACGGTTGCGTATTGTGACGGCACAAGCGACGGGGCGGGGCTCCGAGGCACGGTCACGTGATGCCCTCAATCTCTGGGACAATGGGAAGAGAAGAGAAGCCTTTGTTATTGTTGTTTGTCCAGAAACTCTGGTATCTTTTTTTTCTTGTGTGTGTGTGTGTGTGTGTGTGTGTGTGGAGGTGGGGGGGGCGAGGGTAAATTTGTGATTTCACACAAGGTAATATCATCTCTCCCATACCCACTTTCAAAGCCGCGCTTAAGACTTAAGTCTTTGACCTTGTCTTCCACTCTTCGCTTGGCTCGGGGGCTTATCAGCTTTGTAAAGCACTTTTGAGATGTCCCTCTGACGTGAGGCTGCTATATAATAATAATCCTTGCATTTGATGTAGTGCCTTATCACGTCATTGAGAAATTTTGTGGCCCACACGTAAAGGTGAATTGTATAAGGGAATATTATGGCATCTTTGTTCTCCAGTGTTCTTATCGTGCGGTTTGGTAGCATCTCAACCCTCCCACCCCTTGTGCAAACATTGCAGATCAGCCCTTGTTCAGTTTTTGAATCTTTTGAGTATTATGTTGAGACACAGACAGAGGTTGAATAATGAATACCACTTTTCTGGGGGTGGGACTAATCAGCTGGGAATCCTGTATCTGATAGCAATCAAATGAACCTTCTGCCGCCGCCCCCCCAACTTACAAAGTTGGTGTAAACTTTTACAAACCCCAGTTCTGAAAAGGGTCACACCCAACTATTACTCTATTTTATTGTTGATTTAGACTGATCCATCTTGCCTGACAGGTTTATATGTCTAAAAACTCTTGCCTGACAGGTTTAGCTGTGTGGCTTCCCGAAAGGCGTATAAGCAATATTTACAATGTGCAGCTTCCTATCAAGCTGAAACATCTCAAAGTGCTTGACAAATGTTAAGTGTAGCAACTGTTTTTTGCAGGCAAACATGCCAACAATTTATGCCAGCCATTTGTGCCATAAACAGCCTGGCATGAATTGCGCTATTATAAATGTAAATATTATTGTATGATTAATTATTTTGGAGTGTGGTTGACCAGGGCACCAGGAGAAACTCCCTTCTTTTTAATCACAGAATCTTTGACATCCACCCAAAGTACAGGAAAACAGGATCTCGCTTTGACATTTCATCTAAAGGATAGCAGTGCAAATAATGCAGCACTATCCCAGGAATGTGTGGATTGTCAGACGACACTGAGCCAAGTTCTAAAATGGAATCTGATCCCACAAACTTCTGACCTTCAGGTGAATGTAACTCTGAGTCATACTGACATACTGGGATTCAAAAAGTGCTCACTCAAAAGTGGAAAAGCAAAAATGTAAGTAGCATCTTAGACCAGAAAAAGTACCTTGTGAATCAATCTCCTTCAGGGAATCCTGGGTACGGTTTCACACCAACATGCTATAACCTGGCTCCAAACTTTTTCCAGTGACAATCAATCATCTTTGCTTAAAAATGTGACCAATGTTATGTGGGACAACCTTAAAATAGACATAACTCCATATCCTTAAACAGGTGTGTAATCTATGTTGCCATTGTTGCAAATCGTATAAATGTCACTTCTAAACATTTTCCTGATGTGGGACAGCAGTCCACACATTGGTTGAAGTTTTAACAACGTAAAAAGCTGTTTTCGTAGAGTGAAAGAGTTCACCACACAGAGCCAAGCACTGTAGTAGCAACGACCAAATGCAATTTGGGACCAGCAGTGCGAGTAGCTCTTTTGTGAGTGTCGAGGGTTTTAACGAAACACTACAACTCCCGGAAGGCACTGCGGGACGTTTTGCGTGGGCGAAAAAAAACGTCAGACGCACCGCGCGGACGGCAGCTCTCTTGAGCGGTCCCATGGCGGAGGTGCGAGGTGAGTGAGGGCTGCCGTCCCCTTCAACTTCGTGTGAAAGCGGCCGAAAGGCGCAGCCCCGGGTGGGGTGGGGTGGGGGGGGGAAGGCAGTAGAGATAGGTGTCGGATCCGAGCGAAGGAGCTAAGGGTATAGCGAGCGGGTGCGGCCGCCGGGAGGGAGGGAGGGAGGGAGGGAGGGAGAGATGTCTGACCGCCTAACGGTCGCTCGCTGACCTGACCAGTCGTTGGTAGAGGAGCCGCAGCGGCGCGCGGTGCCGCCGCCGCCGCGTTTAAAAATTGTGCACTGTGTCCCACCGTTGATTTCGTCTTGAGAGGGTTTTTTTTTTGTGCGCGTTTTCCATCCGCGCCTCCGCTGCGGGCGGCGGAAACTCGAAGCGTTTTAACTAAACGACTCGACTTCGCCGCTGGTGGAGACTGTGTGTGTGTGTGTGTGTAAAAAAAAAGAGAGAAACCCCTCTCCTCTCCTCTCCTTTCCCTCCTCACACACAACGAATGCAGAGCGGTCCTTTCGTGAAGTCGTGTTGTGTTGGCGATTTATTCGGCGCGGAGCGAATTTCGGGCTGTGATATAAACATCACCCACTGCCCTCCCTCCCCTCCCTCCCTCTCTCCCTCCCCTCCCTCTCCCGGACGATCGCGAAAGACACGGATTTTTAACGCGAAAAAAGGCACTTTATTTCCGGATTGAGAGAAGTGCTCCCGATCTCTCTGTTGTGGGGGTTGAACGGTGAAGGCGCGAACGAACACGACCGTGTGTGTGTGTGTGTCTGCAGCCAACGCCGACCCTAAAATAAAGTGATTGTAAAACTGCTGCCAAATGCTATATGATTTTGTGACCACCCCCCATCCCCCCCCCCACACACACACCCCCAGTAATAAGCAATTCGTGGCATTTAATTACCGGTGTTCTGGCTTTAAATTCTGGCTTTCCTCCCTCTCCTCCTTCAAAGCCGGTCTCAAGACCTTTCTCTTTGACCGTGCCCTCAGCTCGACTCTCTACCCCCTCCTCGCTCCTTCCCTCCCTTTCCCCTCACCCTGACCACTTCCCCCCAATGCCCGGGTCCTGATCCGACTGTCCAGCGCCTTGGGACGTCCTCCCGACGTGAAAGGCGCTCTATAAATGCAATCTTGTTGTTGTTGTTAAATTGCTAGAAGTTTAAATCCAAGGTACGATGAATCGAAGATTTGATTCACTGTCACACTGTGAACTGTATTTGTTTTCTTCACTGTGCTGCCTCTTAATTATATTATCACTGACGCGAAACCGTAAAATAGAGGTGACCATCGCAGGTGATACAAACTGCAAGTATTTTATACTTTGTTCTGGTTTAGATGGTGGTTCAGCAATTGATAATGTCGGTATTTCAGGTGACTGTAGTCTCAAGCCACTGCATAGGCAAAGTGCTGTGTCAAATTCTTGACCTCTTTTTAGATGCAGCAAGAATGTTGTGTAGAGCACCAACTCCAGTTTTAATGTAGAGCTACAGCTAAGTCTGGCACAAAGGGCATTACAGTTTGACCTCAGCATGTCCTTGACTAACACTTGTCAGATGTCAGCTAATCCAGCGGCATGATTTAGTCCTCAGAATTGTTTTTAACTGCAGAACGATCTCAGATTTCAGAGAAGCCATAATTGAAGGGTTGGTCTGTATACTGTTCCAGGGAAAGTACACTATCAACCCCGAAACAAGTCCAGCAGAAATGTCAAGTATCAAGTTATTACACTCAGCAGTAACTTATGAAATGCTTTGGGACATTTGACACTAGGTACTATTAAAATACAAATGCTTGCTAGTCTGAGGGAAAGAGGGGTATACATACATTAATTTTGGGGCCATTTGTGATCTACTTAATAATAATAACTCTTGCATTTGATATAGCGCTTTTTACGTCTTCTAGACTTCTCAAAGCGCTTCACAGAATATGTAAAGTGAATTGACTATATATTTGTGGGCGAAACACGGCAGCCAATTGCGCACAGCAGTGTCCCACAAACAGTCGTGGATTGAAAATGACCAATTTATTATTGTTAAGCATTTAAGTACTGTACTTAAGTACAGCAGTTTAATATCTTGGGGTTACAGTGTTGATCCAAAATGGAATGAATGTTTTATCTTACTAAACAGGGCTATAAAATCCTCAGCTGGCTACTTGATGCATAGATTATGTTTAGCATTTGTATTTGTTAATAGTTCGACTACCCCAATTTAGTTGGAGTGGTAGACTCAGTCATGAACCTATTGTCTCTGCCCTATACTGGGGCCCACACGACAGTTTAGCTCAGCCTGAGTGTATGTGGATGGGACAGTGTTACTTTAGAGTGTTAAATATGAGACTTTAAATTATAGCTCAATATGGATGCTACTCTGCTTAAATGAAAATTGCCAGATTGTTGTATTGAGGTACCAATAGGTAAACAACAACAAAACGTTATGTTTCTTATAGCTATGGAGAGGATTACATTTGTATAGCGCCTTTCAGGTCGGGAGGACGTCCCAAGGCGTTGGACAGAGAACAGCATTTCAGATCCGAGCTGGGGTTGGGGGGTAAGGGAAGGGAGGGGAAGAGGAGGGTCTTGAGGCAGGACTTTAAGGAGGCTAAGGAGGGGGCGAGGCGGAGTGACTGGGGGATGGAATTCCAGAGGTTGGGGGCAGAGTGGCTGACGGCTTTCCCGTCAATGGCGGGGTGGGTGGGTCGGGAGACGTGGAGCAGGCCAGAGCCGGCTGAGCGGAGGGAGCGGGCGGGTTGGTAGGGGGTTAGGAGATCGCAGAGTTCGGGTGGGGCGACGCCATGGAGGGCTTTGTATATGAGGACCAGGATCTTGAACTGGATCCTCTGAAGGACAGGGAGCCAGTGGAGACAGGCGAGAGTGGGGGAGATGGGGTCACGGAGTTTGGTGCGGGAGAGGACACGGGATGCAGAGTTTTGGATTATCTGCAGCCTGTGGAGGGAGGAGTTGGGAAGGCCGACAAGCAGGGCATTTGCATAGTTGAGCCTGGAGGTGATGAAGGCATGAACAAGAGTTTCAGCGGCCTGAGGGGTGAGGTAGTGGTGGAGTCGGGCGATGTTACGGAGGTGAGGGAAGGCAGAGTGGGTCATGGCTTGAATGTGGGGGAGAAAAGACAGTTGAGGGTTGTGCAAGACACCGAGGTTCCTGACTGGCTTGGTGAGTTGTAGTGTGCAACCATGGAGGTTGATGTTGCCAGAGCCTGAGGTGTTGAAGCGCTGGCGCGAGCCAATCAGGAGGGCCTCAGTAATTGAAACATACTGCTGCTTTACTGAAAGCAGTAAGTCAGTCACTACTGTAATATACTATGAATCTGGACTCTGCACATCCCATTTTTTTGTTATAATCTGGAGACCGATGCCAACCTGTAACCTTTTTGTTTTCAGTGTTCCCACTGTCGTGTATCGTGCAGCACTATGAGTGGGGGAAGATTGGTTTGGACAGTGAAGTGGCAAAACTTGTTTCAAGTGGTGATCCTTTAGCAGTCATTGAACAAGACAAGCCATATGCTGAGGTAACTTTATGCTTGACCATGTTCTTCAATTTGGATGATATTGATCATTTGATTGTAAATAAAATACAAAGTCTTTATTTAAGCAGGATATTATATAATAATAATAATAATCCTTGCATTTGATATAGCGAGTTTTCAAATTAGGGTTCTGGAGAAGCATAATAGTGGCTGAAAGCTCAGCTACCAATGGTAGAGTCGAGGTGGCTGAGGATGTACAGCATGTCAATTTGCGAAGTGAAGGAAGTGAATGTGAGAATGGAACTGGAGAGATTGTAGAGGTAATCAGAAATTGAGCCAGTGGATCCTGGCGGGAATAGGAATGATGGGTTTTCAGAGCCTAGTGTGTGAGAGAATATATGTGCTGTGGAGTTCTGGATAAGCTGGTGTTTGTAGACCGTTGCATTGTATAATTATCAGGCAATATGAAAATTGTATTATATAAATGGGAAGGTAATGCTGTTCCTATTATGTTCTTATAGCTATGGATGGGAACGCATCCTAAAGGAGATGCAGCCATCTCTGACAACAGAATTACTCAGAAGACTCTAGGACAATGGATTGCAGCTCATCCAGACTCCTTGGGTTCGAAGGTGAAAGACACTTTCCAGGGACAGCTACCTTTCTTGTTCAAAGTGTTATCTGTCAATATCTCATTGTCAATTCAAGCTCATCCAAACAAAGTAAGTAGGAAAACAATCTAATTGTCAATTAGACTTTTAAATGTTACCTAGTTAAGCTGATAAATAATAAACTGGGTTGTGAGATTTGAGTGTCTAAAATAGGAAATTGTTCCATAACTCATCGTTATTATCTCTCATTTAAATGATGATAATAATAATCTTTGCATTTGATATAGAGCTTTTCACGTCTTCTAGACGTCCCAAAGCACTTCACAGAAGATATTTCAAGAAGTGTAGTTCCTTTTAAATAAAAGTAGTGCAATAAATTATTTCTAAGAATTGTTCGAAATTGTATGTTCCACATTATTTTAAGTTGAACTTTTTGTCCTTCCAGGAGCTGGCTGCAAAACTTCATGCTCAGTTTCCGGATCGTTACCCAGATAAAAACCATAAGCCAGAAATGGCCATAGCACTGACTCCCTTTGAAGGGCTGTGTGGCTTCAGACCAGTGGAAGAAATTGTTGCATTTTTAAAAAGTAAGAGGAAAAAAAATTATCAAAGATAACTGGTAAGATCTCCAGAGAGACCTTGATGTGTAGATGAGTAGAGAGAACACAGTATTAACTATGCATATCAAAATTGGAAATTCACCCCAAAAATTCTCATTGATCGTGGCTATTCGCGTCTTTGTTTGGAGGACATTCCTGGCACAAATTAGCTGCTACATTTGCCACCATAACAGTATTCCCTTTAAACTCATACTGCAAGTGATTTGAGACTTTTTTTGTATGAAAGTTGCTTACATAAATGGAAATTGTTTAGACAGATAGCACCTTGAATCAGAAGGATGTGGGTTCAAGCCCCATGTTGGGACTTTGAATCACATAATCAAAGTTGACACTCCAATGCAGTGCAGGGGAGGTGTTGCATTGTCGGAGGTGCTGTCCTTTGGATGAGACATTAAATTGAGGTCCCGTCTTCTGTTCAGGTGGACTTTAAAAGTCCCACGGCACTATTCGAAAAGAGAAGGGAGTTTCTCCCAGTGTCCTGGCCAACAATCCCCCAGATTCGTTCCACTGGGTCTGGCCTCCTCCTTGTCCCTCGAGTCTTCCGCTCCACCCTTGGCAGTCGTGCCTTCAGCCACTACGCCCCGAGGCTCTGGAACTCCCTTCCTCACTCCCTTCGCCTCGCCCGCTCTCTTCCTATTTTCAGGTCTCGGCTGAAGACCTTTCTTTTCAACCGTGCCTTTGGTCATCTTCCTCCCCCTCCCCCTGACTTGGCCTCTGGATCCGTTACTGTGAAGTGCTCTGAGACACCGTCCGGGGTGGAGGGCGCTATATAAATCCAAGCTGTTGTTATAAAATTGGTAATTAATTCTCTGGCTGATGCGGGACATTGCAGTGCGCAATTGGGTTCTGCGTTTTGCCCACAAAATACAGTCAATCTACTTTACAGTATATTCTGTGGTGCGCTTTGAGACATCTCAACAAAGTGAGAGAGCAATTATGTCAAATGCAAGGATTATTATTATTGTGGTCACTTTTGTGTACTTAACCTCACTGAATTCCTTTTTGTGCTTTGCTACAGCTGTTCCTGAATTCCATACAGTGATTGGCAATGAGGCTACAGAAGCGCTCGAGAACAGCATTGGTGACTCAGGCAAGGTGTTTGATGCTTTGAAGAAGTGCTTCATCAAATTGATGAACTGTGAAAAGAAGACGTTCGTTGATCAGCTGAACATGTTGGTGAAGAGAGTCTCAGAGGAAGGTTTGTTTTTATGTTCAAATTCAATGAGTAGGTTACCAAATGTTAATGTGTGTAGTACTGCACTGGAACGGCAGGCGGAACTGTGAGCTCATGTCTAGACTTGAAGTTCTAACTCACACTTTTTGACCAAATGGGGAGACATCTACCAACTGAACTAAGCTGATACAGCTACATGGATTTTAATATCCTAGCAGTGATGATGTTGCTCAGCTTCAGTCTCACTAGATATTAGCTTTCCATTCTTGAGTTATTGCTGTATTTCACTAGTGTTACAACCAGGAATTAATGGCTTACAGATCTACCCTCCAAATTACTTGTGTTACTCCAGTCGCCATTTTAGTTTGCAAAACTGCATCATTTGTTTTTGATTTATTTCTGTATGTATTATAACCGACTGTTCTGGACTAACAGATGGACCATGTTCCCATAGGTGGTGCGGGCAAAGACACTACAAAAGTAATGGTGAACTGTTGCTGCGATTACACTCCCAGTTTCCAGGCGATGTTGGGTGTTTTGTCATCTACTTCTTGAACCTGATGAAACTACAGCCTGGGCAGGCCATGTTCCTAAGTGCTAATGAACCTCATGCATACCTTTCTGGAGGTGAGGCTTGATATTTTTGAAGAAAACTATGACCAAATGCAAATTTATTTCAGTCTTTCGAAGACTTTCTCTGTTGAACATCAGTTAAAAAAAGACATTCCTGATCCTGACTCTGTGAAGGAATTAAATTAGCACCAAAGGAAATACAAATACATTATGGTATGTTGTTCTAGTTTAAAGCTACGATGCTTTGTTAGTCTTGTTTTTTTGTATTTATATCTAAATTTAGATAGATGCAATAACTATTGTACAAGTTGACTCCCCAAGAGGATTGGACCCAGACTTGGATCCATTGTTTTAAAAAAAGATTAATTGGCATTTCCGTGTAGGTCAGAAAGGCTCTTTGTTTGTCTAAAATGGCAAGCCACTACTTATTCCATATCTTGCCTTCCCCATTCTTTGCTTTAGTTGGAGTCCAGTGAGCAGAGAGTAAATGATTAATTTTGAATTAATTTTTTTGTTTGAAATACCTTTTATGCATTGAAAATCACCTCTGGTACAAATGCAGAAGTTTGAAGGCACACAGATGTCTCATTTACTTTATAAATCTGATAGCAATATAATGTTGAAATTAAATTCCTCATGACAAGAAAACTTTTTATTCAAATCTATTGATTGTGATACTTACTAGGGGATAACCTTTGACTAGGGTTCTGATTTGTGGAGCCAAGTATAAAAGTCTATATACCATTTGATAAGCTTTTCTATCCACAAAACAAAACTGGATGATTTACTGAAGTTGATTTGTACATCAATCGTAACCTAACCATAATTTTGTTCATTAGATTTAGGTTGCATATAGATTCATATGATTAAAAAAAAACACACTAGTCCAAAAAACAGTTCTTATTCCTTACGAAAATTTGAGATGTTTTGTATTGTTAATAATGGTAGGGAATAACTGCATATAATTACGATAATTAAGTGCTCAAAATAGATTGATTGTTTATTTACTATCGCCCTCATTCCAGATTGCATTGAATGCATGGCTTGTTCTGATAACACCGTGCGAGCTGGCCTCACTCCAAAATTCATTGATGTTCAGACCCTCGTTGAAATGCTAAATTACACGCCTTCCTCTGCATGCTCGAAGATCTTTCCAATGGTGCAGGATCCTTATGATGCTTGTGTCACTGTGTATGATCCTCCAGTGCCTGACTTCACAGTTCTGAAAATCGAGGTAATGTTCCAATAATTTGTATTATTGTTCATTTGCTCCCGTTGGCTCGAGTTCTTCCCATACACTATGGGATTTTAATGTTCCATATTGTGTATGATTCATAGAATTGATAAGTGATGAAACAAGCCTTAGTGTTCAAAATGCTAGATGAGGATTTGTCGCTTTACATGGGCATCAAAGTGATAGATATTTGTGATTGGAATTATTGGTAATTTTGTTCACAGTAATTTCATCTTGTACTCTATGAATTTTTGAAGGTCTCGCTACTCTTCTAAGATCCTAAATTTGGGTTTACTGAATTGTTCTGTATGCACTCAAAAGTACTATGCCTGTACAGCTTCCAGAGAATAACTGATCTTTTTTTTTCTTTTTGGAACCTAGATTCCATGTTCAATGAAGCAGTACAGAGTGTCCTGCATTGATTCAGCAAGTATCCTACTGGTCATTAATGGAGAAGCTACATCTGTTGGTAGCTCATCGCAAATCTGCTTGAGGCGTGGATCCATTCTCTTTATTGCAGCCAATGAAGCATTTTGCTTAGATATTAGCTCTGACAATGGGATGCTGCTGTTCCGGGCATGCTGTTTGTTGTAATTTCCTTAAAACCTCATTCTGTGTAGTATTAAATGCAATATGCCATAGTAATGTAGCCAGTGAATAGAATAACAGGACAATACACTTGAAAGGTGTAAATACTTGAATACACTGACACCATTTTTCAAGTGTATTTTTCTTATACTTTATATAATTGAATATTTGTTCATATTTTCAATTCTCAACTCTAGTTTGCTCAACTTTTGATGATTGCAGGGATATTGCAATGTTCAGAAATATATTGCAGTCTGTTGGTTTCCCTTTTAAATTAACCCCTTTCACTTATGCATTTTCAAGTTTGGTTTGACATGCAGTCACAATTTAACAAGGAATATCAGATCAAATGTTAAATCTTTAAAAAGATTTTTTAAAAGGCGTGTAATTACTACAAAAAATTAGTAAACAAAACTCATGTTTAAATTAATTCTCACTTTTCCATCATATCAGCAATTGTTTTGAAATCAATCCACGTTTGGTACAAAGTTGGGAGTGGAAGACCTTTTCAAAAACAGTTGGACTGGAATCTGGCTTTCACAAAATGTTATAGCATTTCTGCAATATAAATGGACCCTCAAATTAAACACATTTCCTTCTCCCTTCACACAAACTACCTTTTCAAAATGAGCATCTGAAGGACGGCAGTTCCAACAATGCAACCCTATTCCAGTACTTGCAGAGGTGTGCCTAGATTCTAAATGCTTGGCTTATTTCTGTACTAATAGTGTTTTAAGATGCACTGAATTTTTTTGAATACAACTGTTACCTCAGAGCTTAAACATTATTGTATTTGTTACCGTACAAACATTGTGGACCTATTCTTTATCTTAAATGAAATTAAAATTTCTAAGAGTATAATTCACCTGCAAAACACATAGTCACTGCACTTTATAGTATATTCTATGAAGGGCTTTGAGGCATTCTCCATATGTGAAAGTCATTTTAGCAAATGTAAGAATTATTGTAATTAAGAGAAGACTTAGAAACATTGTTCAGATTTGTGGTCAAAAAAATTAATCCTAGTTTGACTACTGTGCATGTGTTTTAAGCTATCTGAAAAAATCTATATATTTATCAGGAGGGGAAGAGTTAAGTGGGGTCTCCCTCAGGTTGACTGGTTCTGAGAAAACAGCAGAAGTATCGCAGCCACTTTTAAAATAAAAATTATTTGCCAAATTTCTCTCCAGTGGACATGTCTCTGCTCTTGTCCCCAGCTTCCTCAAGGTGTCGAGCAGTTCAACAGACACTGTTCTAGAGGCACTCCATCCCAGATGACCACTGTGGACGTGTGTGCCTCAGCAGCGAACGTCGGCAGTGAATGTTGGCAGTCCAATCTTACCTCTTCACCATCTGTCTGGCTTATCATGGAGACTTAGCTGCTATTACATGATATTGTGCTTAGAATTTTCACAGGAAGTGAAAAACTGCACTGTTTGCATCAGGTGTCTTCCATCAAAGTTTTGTGAAATGTTTGAAATCTACAGTAGATCCTTTGCTTTCAGATGTTGGTAATATGTAACAATAATAAATAATAATCCATGCATTTGATATAGTGCTTTTCATGTCTTCTAGACATCTCAAAGAACTTCACAGGATATACTGTAAAGCAAACTGACTATATACTTGTGGGTCAAACCAATTGCGCACAACAGTGTCCCACAAACAGTCATGGGCTGAAGTGACCAATTTTATTATTTTTTTCTTGAGGGATTATTATGTAATCTTGAACATAAGGAAACAAAATATTTGCAAGGAGGTAAAACTCAGCATGCAAAGGAAAAATGAAACTGAATAATTTCTCATTTGTAAGATTAAAGATGGATTTAATACTAATACCAATATCAGTATTGTTAAATTTACCGTGTTGCTGGTTGTGGCTAATTGGTGTTTTGTGTGTTTAAAAAAAGAGTAAGTTTGAAAAAAAGGTATGTTTTGTTTTGATGTTCTGCACTCTAGTTGGCAAATTAATATGTTTGATGTTGAGATATATTACATTAGATTTTCATTCCCTCAACACTTGCATGTTAATATCTGTCTTTATCAGTGGAACAGTTGTTGCCAAGACACTCCTTTGTTTGTCTTCCTTTCTGGGTTCATGAAACCATTGTGTTAAAGGAAGCAGGTGGTTAATATGTATAACATCCTGTAATGCAGTGTAATGACCAGTGAATTGTGAACGTGTCAGGAAATAGATGTAATTTGTCTATAATACTTGAGATAGTTAAAAAAAACTATGGCATCATATCATGGCCAATTTCTATAGAATGGGAAATGATCTAAAATTAGAAGTGCTTCGACAAGTTTTTTTTTGAGATGCGGATAGTACAGTATTGCTGTCTGGTCTGACAATAAGATGCAGAATGTAAAATTACTGATATGCGCATTTTGAAATAAAATGAATGACCGTATATATTGCATCTCCAGACTTAATAATAATAATAATAACAATCCTTGCATTTGATATAGCGCTTTTCACGCCGGGAGGGACGTCCCAAAGCGCTTCACAGAACACACTGTAAAGTGAATTGACTGTATATTTGTGGGCGAACGCGGCAGCCAATTGCGCACAGCAATGTCCCACAAACAGTCGTAGATTGAAAATGACCAATTTATTATTTATTGTTTTGGGTTTTGGTTTGGGGGGAGTAACCAAACTCTTAAGTTTTTTTTTCTTTTCACAACGCAGTATGGTTTTCAAACGGCGTTAAACCGGATATTTTCTGTCGGCAAAATACTAAAGGGGGCGCCGTGACTTCATCGTTTACAGTCGCCAACATTTCATAAGAGGCATTGCTTCAAAAGACGATCATCCTGTGCTGAGGATACCTCTGCATCCGCCAGGAGGCGCTGCGGTGCCAGGGATACTCCCACCAGCGAGGGGCGCTGCGGTGCCAGCGGGACTGCCATCGCTAGGCGGCGCTGCGGCGGTTACGAGCCATTTCCGTTGTCGGTGAGAGGTGGACTCGGTCGATCCGTGGGCTGATCCGGCGCTGTGTCAATAACCCCCAACCCCACCCCCCCGGGCCCGGAGAGGCCCAGGACGATGCGTTACCAACCGCTGTCCACAAGCGAGCACAGCCTGGGGCCCAGTGTGGTCTCTGTCCACTACAGCATGAGAGTCTCCGGGGCAGCGGGGGCAGGTGAGGGGGGGGGGCGGGGGGAGAAGGCCTATTCCGATGGGGGGTGTGGCCTGTTTGGTGGGAGGGGTCTGTTTGGTGGGAGGGTCTATTCTGGTGGGGGAGTGGCGTTTGGTGGGAGGGGTCTGTTTTGTGGGAGTGGTCTGTTTGGTGGGAGGGGTCTATTCTGTGAGGGTGTGGTCTGTTTGGTGGGAGTGGTCTATTCTGATGGGGGTGTGGGCTGTTTGGTGGGAGTGGTCTATTCTGATGGGGGTGGCCTGTTTGGTGGGAGGGGTCTATTCCGATGGCTGCGGGGTGTACAGGTGAGGAGCGGTCCAGACGGAGATCGATACACTTGGGCGTATTTTTGGGGGGTCGCCCCCCCCAGGCGTCTGACACACGGGGAAACCCGCGGCTTAAGAGTCTCCAAACCTAACTGAGAGTTCCTTGCGTGGCGCCCACACATGGAAACGACCGACGTGTATTGGAGCGGAATGTGCACTCCCCCGGGTGCGACTCGTCCCGCTTACCTAATTCCGGAAAGTATTAGGTGCAAGAGCCACGGCTTGGGGTCCGTCCCAGAGTGTGCGTTGGGGTACTGCCGGAGTCTGACCAACTAAAACCGCGTAGCTTCCATCAACAGTACTTACTGTCTGGCAAGTTTTCACGCTCCTTGACCAGCTAGGACCACCCTTTGCGTTAGGGCTTTCTCCTGCAAGGTTACTGGGAACTGACTGGGAAGAGTTCCCGTCCCCAGTGACCGGTCTGCCCTTCCAAGTCCTACCGATGAGCTAGACCGGCTGGTCTCTCAACAGCAGATGTAGCGGAACAGGTGTTGTGACTGCATTTGCAGGCCAACCTGGCAGTTGGTTTGTGCACGTCAAGGTTTCACACTGATCAGTTTTATCTGGAGGATTGTTGGTCATTGCCACCGGGAGAACCTCCTTTCTCATTTGAAATGGTGTCCTGGGATCTTTAGCTTCCACTGCTTTTAAATTCTTCCTATTTTTAGATCAGAGGCAGGGGTGGATGTCAAAGATTTGCAATGGCCTTGTGACGTCTCTTATTTTTCTTATGATACTCATCACCTTTCCAGTCTCACTGTGGTTTGCTATAAAGGTACGTATGCAATGGTAGAGATGTAGTTTATAATGTTGGATGGGAGGTAGAATGCTGGGAGGAATTGTCCCGAGATTGAACTAATAATAATAATAGGTATAGTGCCTTATCATATTTTTTAGACATCTCCAAGTGCTTGTAAAGTGAATTAACTGTGGACTGTATTTTGTGGACAAAACCCAGCAGCCAATTGTGCACAGCAGTTGCAACTACTCTACTCTTTCTGTGTAAATCCATTGGCTGAAGATTGAAATTCTACCTGATCTGAATTGTGCAAATTATGACACTCCACCTAGAATTGTGTATATGTTTTTAAATTTAGGATAGGAGTCAGGAGTAGGGAACCTAGCTGATTGTTTTCTTCCTTTCCCCAGCAACTTCAGCAACTGCTACGTGCTGCCCAGGCTGAGATCAACCCAGAATTCTTTTGTTTTAAATCCATCACAAATTCTTTATTGTCCTCTTCTTGTTGGGGTGGATGACAGTGGAATCGAGTTTCATGAATGCTAGACTTGTACCTAGTCATTGAACAATAGATGTCTTGTAGCCTTGTTGATGTTTCTAGATTAAATTAAAGGTACAGTACTCGTCTTTATATCTGCAGACAGTACCGAGCTACAATAGGCTTGTATTATTCCGCTTGGGAAGGATCAAAGGCTCCAAAGGCCCCGGCATGGTCTTTGTGCTGCCTTGCATTGATCAGTTTCAACAAGTCGACATCAGGACGAGAGCTCTCAGTGTTCCACCATGTAAGGTACTTATGCCTTCAGTGTTGGTAACTGTTGGGGGAGGGAGGGAAACAATCATTCTAAAATAACCTGAGGCTGGTGGTTATTGTATTTGTGTCCTCCTGATCTGTTCTTTGTGCCCCAGTTAAAGAACCTGTTTAGCACAACCTTATCTGCACCCTCAGTGTTCCAGCTATATCATGTTTCCCTTTTTTGTCTTCTGGTATATGTGATTACATGATAAAATAAAAAAAATGGTAACTGCAAGTGTTGGCTGTCATACAATTAACCCTTTTGATTGAAAAAAAATTAAAAATACTTGCGGGTTTTCGAATACACCTGCACTGACCACCACTTTTTAAACAAGAGAAGTCTGTGAAGCTGGATGTGCATGACCAGTTCACAGAGAGAGCACTTCACCTCCCTCCATGAGATGGTCTACTTGCTTTGGTCAGTGATGGCAGGGAGGAAGTGGCCTAGAGGATTGGATAAAATGAAGTTGCAATTTGTTTATTTTCATCTGGACCATCCTCCTTCTGGTATAATTTCATAACTCTTGTAAATGGTAAATGATATACTGGATTTAGCTGAACCCCCAACCCTGATTTCTATTGAGCTAACGTTCACAAAGCTAAATTTACATCCTCCCTTGAAACAGATCACGTCCAAAGATGAAGCTTTGATCTCAGTGGGAGCAGAGATACAGTTTCGGATTTGGAATCCGGTCCTGTCTGTGATTGCAGTTCAGGATTTAAACAGCTCCTCGCAGCTCACTGCCCAGAACATAATGACTCACATCCTGCTTAAAAAAAGCTTAAAGGAAATTCAAATGGAAAAGATGAAAATTGGAGAAGAGTTAACGGTAAGACTGACTATTGCTTACTGGGTAAGAACAGGTACCAGAGGGAGCAGGGGTGGTTCCTGGTATTGGTTTGGCACCCAGCGACATTGCATTTCCATACAGGAAAGTCTTATAAGAAATGGTCAAAAGTTAGATTTGTTTGAAACCTGTCTTTATTTCGGAACATTTAGCTTGAAATCAATGAGAGGACTAAACCATGGGGCCTAGAAGTGGATCGAGTGGAATTAATTCTGGATGCAGTGTTAAAGCCAGCCCGAGAAAGGGTGTCATCAGCATCTGTGTTCAAGCCGCCTGCCCTTGGACTGGAGGGGCAACCTGGACCTGTTCAGCACCTAACTATGCATTTCATAGGCAGCAACCCCATAGCGCCTAGCCCAATCAAAGGTTAGACTGAATACTGTACACTCAATATGTATATTTAGTAATTGTATTTTAATTCCAAGTCAAACATTGTGAGGTAGCAATAAATAAATGAAACAGGATGCAAGGCTCCACTGGCAAAGTAGCTGAGTTCCAATCTCAAGAGATCATGCTCAAGCTGCATCGTACGTACTCTTTCTAATCAGTTGTTTCTGCCCTGTAGAGTGCAGTTCTTTTTGTTGGAAAGTCCAGAGGCGGAGCAGAAGAGAGCAATAAGGCTGATGGGCAGTTTTAGGGGTATGAGGAATGACTAGATAAGCTAGAGAGAAGCTAGACTAGATATGCTCTCTTCATCATGGAGGAAAAAAAGGGGAGTTTAAGGGTGTTGACCAAAAGAGCAAAGAGATAGTTATATAGAGAGATAGTTTTCAAGAGAACTTTGAAATCAGGGAGTGATGTGCAAGGTGAAGGGATTTTGGAGAGACTTTTAGAGAGCATTATGACTGCAGGCTTCACCACAGGAATCCTGTAGCTCAGTGGTTAGAGCACTTGCCTTGCAAGCGAGACACTTGGGTTCAATCCCAGATAGGGTGAAACTTTGGATAAGTTTCCTTACTCCACATGTCTAATAATATTAAATTAATAAACAATAATAAATCGATCATTTTCATTTTCATTTTCAATTCATGACCGTTTGTGGGACACTGCTGTGCGCAATTGGCCACCGTGTTTCGCCCACAAATATACGGTCAATTCACTTTACAGTATATTCTGTAAAGTGCTTTGAGACGTCTAGAAGATGTGAAAAGCATTATATCAAATGCAAGGATTATTATTATTACAGGTAAAGGACTGAAGAAATGAGGAAGAAACAATTTACCACAATTGGAAATCTGATACGCTTGTTCGGAGATTGTTTTTCCTGAGCTTTTGCATTTCTGTTCTTATAGAAATATCACAGGTTGTGTGTGACAACCCTGTGGATGAACCCATGTTGCCAAAGGAAAGCCCGAAACTTTCCATCGGGGATGAAATACTTGTTAAGGTGAATCAGGCCATTTCTGAAGGATTGGTCAAACAAATTGGAGCCTGCTTCCTCTTCAGCATCACCCTCAAGGATGGAAGTGGGACATCGTATTTCCTGGACCTCACCAGAAGTGAGTTTTATCCTGCAATTGACATTGTGGAATGACGAGCACATGAACATGTACAAAGATTAACTATATTTATGCGGGTTATCACTGTAACAAAACTGGGTGATGTAATTCTCAATAGACTGAGGATTCCACTTACCCAAGGCAATTCTCCTGTATTTCAAGGTATCAAAATTTCCATGAGTGGGTGGGGTGCACGGAGCTCTGTTTAATTTGGGTATTCTTAAGCATGATGATTGATTTTCCCCATGAGTCGGTCACTCCCCTGACCAAAAATATAATAGACTCAGGATTAAAGGATGAATCTTTACTTCGTAATAAAAGTGACGATCATTTAAGTTTGTCAGTGATGATCCTTGTGACTTCCCTTTTGCTTCACTCCAGGCTGCGGTAAGGCTGGGCATGGCAAACCGGAGCGAAGTCCTGATGTAATACTGGAAATGAGTGAGTGCGACATGAAAGCTATGTTCAAAGGTAACCTGAAACCTCTTGGAGCCTACATGAGTGGGCGTTTGCGAGTGCATGGAGATCTGAAAACTGCTATGAAGCTGGAGGAGCTGATCAAGGTGTTGAAACAAAATACCCAGGTCTGACACTATTTATTTCAGGATTGTACAGACCACGGATGCCTTAACTTTTATTTGATTCTTAATCTGTTGTCAAATAAATAAATGTGTGCAAAACCATATCAGAATACATACCTTTCAGGTCCTGGGTCACTCCCTCTCTCACTCAGTTCTGTCAGGCTTCCTCTGTGGTACGTATATATCTTATTAATCCTCTTTGAATGTCCCTTCTGAAAGGACCCTCTGATACCTGGCATTTTTCATGTGTGAGTTTGGACAATGAATGTGGCGGGGGGGGGGTTTGGGCAGGAGGAATCACCCGGCCAGATCCTATACTTAACCTGACATTCACCCTCATGTATTTTCCAGCATTGAGTCACTGGGTAGTGATCAGGACCTGGTTGACTTCACCCCTTCCCCTCCCTACCCAAGTGCCACTGAGGTCAATCATAGTGTCCTTAATGCTGCCCTGACTGAGGTCAGTTATCTCACTTTCACAGCTATATTGTTCAATCTTTACCATGTGTAATGTCTAAAGCGTCGGCAAGAGTTTTTACAGTGGTAATTTAATCTGATTCCAGTGGCTGATGATGTTCAGACCCTCTGATTAAATTACAGTTTTGTAGCCGACTCCTGGCAGATCTGATCCCATTCTAAGAGAGGGCTTACATCAGCTATCTATTTGCACTGTGAGTTAAGTCGGTAAATGCCACTGTTTATATATTTTTTCTTCCGGGAAAGTTCCTACTAAAGAGTTTTTTATATTAAATGATATTTTAAGTGTACATCATAAATTCTAATTCTGTTTTTGTTTTTATTATGATTGACTCTGTCTCAGTGATTCCGTCTTCCCTCCTGATCAGGGGAGTAAAAAAATAAATTCTTGACCACAATTTGTTGTTTCATCTACGAGGACAGACAGCAATTTAATGTGGAATTAAGTGCATTCCAATATACCTTGCTGCAGGGATTTGACTGTGACCCTATTGCAAGGCTTTGATTGATTGTTGTACTGTATTTTCTTAATATTGAATTTATTAATACTTGATTTTGATAGTGTCTTGCCACACCGAAACGTCCCAAAGTGCATCAATTATTACTATTTTGAAGGGTAGTATTGTTATATGGGCAAACGTGACAGCTACGTCCCACAAACAGTAATTGATGAATGGTAAATTGGTGCATTGGTGAATTTGGATGTGGAAAGAATACAGGTCAAGACACTCAGCTGCCTTATATGAGATCCAACCTCAGTGCTTTGGTATCTGTATTTCTATTTATTTTACTTCACTTTGGGATACATGGTGCGATTGCCTTTGTATTACTCAGGAGCCTCTGAATGGCATTTAATGGTCTGACTGTATTTTCTCTGCAATTTTATATGAAAAATTTCCAACACTCCAGAAATAGTGTTTGTCTGTCAAATTTATGTATCCATTGTACAATAAACATTTGTTTTAGACTTTTAGCGCTTTTCGATTTAGCGTTCCTGTAAAGTGTTGGGCTGGAATTTGTTTTTGCTAAATACAGGAAGACAGTGATATAGAATATCACTGTATTCCTTCCATATCCTTCGGATATCCTTCCATATCGCTGATATGGAAGGATATCCAAATTTCCCTCCGCTGCAAAGAAGCGACTACTTCAGTTCCATTGCCCTTTTCATTGTATTTGAAAATAAATAAATGAGTATAAACTCCTTAATGTCTCAAGGGAATAGTAGTGATTGCATTTGCAGTGCATCCTGTTCTGTCAGACACTGTCTCACAGATTCCCAGTCGTTGGTTCACACACACACACACACACACACACAGGTTGGACACACTGTTTGCACACGCAAAGTGTTTTTTGTTTTTTTATTGCTATTCAGTCGCTCAAGCTTTTGCTACAGGATATGTGTTATGTTGGATTCGAGCATGCAATTGAGCTGGAGTGTTGTGTTTGGCGATGGCGTGTGGAGTCACTGCTGTATTTGGTGCAGTTTTGTTTCTCATCGCGAGGTGGTGACAAGTTGCAGGACATTACAAAGTCAGAAAGGGTTCTGATGAGAACTGGGATGGGGTAACAAGAGGGAGGGATGAGACGGGTTACCATCAATTATCTTTCAGGCGTGTGTCATGTGTTCTGTGCAATGCCAGTAAGTCATCTTTCACATAAAGCAACATTAGTTGTAAGGTGCAAACACAAAATGTGTTGATTATGTAGTTTTGCACAGCAAATGAGCAGAACCTGCGGATTAAACGTACACCGTCCAAACGATCATGTCTGTCCGGAACATAAAATCTTTTCATGTTAATATGCGGCACCATAATAGATTCACCTTTATTGTAAATATCCTGCAAACGTTTGCTGGAGAAGGAAGTACTCGAGGAAACATTAAATAAGCAATAATTCATAATGTATCAAGGGTTTAAAAATAAAATATATATTTTCTCTAAACGGAAATTTCCGTAAATCTTTTCCTTCATGCATTTTATACCAGGGATTTTATTTAAAAAATAAACAGGCGTGATGGGTTATAATCCCCATTTGAATTGCTAACCCATGCGCCAATCCAAACCAATTATGTATTGTAATTGGAGATAAATAGATTTTCCCCCCTGAAGATCAAAATACGATCGTTTTACCATGAATGTTCAACGTTATTAAATTTCAACGGGCTGGAAAAAAACGTATTTTAAACTACGGGGATCAGACTTATTAAAGTTTAAACAAGTAGCAAATTGGATTCGTGACAAAAAGCCACTTGCCGATTCCCCATCGCTGCAAACCAGCGCAGTAATTTCGATTCACCGCTTCTCGAATCCGTGAGCAATGGAAAAGGCAACAGCTGTTGCCGTGTGTAACAAATAACAGTAATCACCAACACATTCTGAGTAATCCCTACTCTACACCTATGTGTAGAATATGTGCAATAAAAGTGGGTCTATTAGGCAATAAGATCGCCGCTCCCATTCTTAGTGTCTAATGAATTTTACCATTTTTATTTCTTTGTTCCATCAAAACATCAAAACAGTGGTATCATTGAAACTGATATTTTAGCTTATACTTTCTCACCCCAGTTATTCTAAAGACAGTTAGTCCTTGTTATTCTATTCGGTGGCGATATTTGAAAAGTTATTTGGATGCCTTGCAATCAGCTCCCCCCCCCCCCCCCCCCCCCCCACACACACACACACACACATTATTGTTATATTAACCGTATATTCTGAAGGTATATTTTTAAATGGGTTTATTCTGAACCATGGCTGCAAATAGAACAGTCGCTGCAAATGTCTGAAGAGGACATTCAGACGTTCTCGGAGTCATATCAAATTTAAGGATTGATATCGATATTTTAAGTCCTATTCTCCAATTCCTTACAGGGTCCAGCCACCCTTCTGACAGAATTATCGACTATCGATTCTCTTTCCGTTCATGGGAAATTTCGGAATGATTAAACCGGTTCCATCCCAAATAGTCGGTTCCAAAATAGACAACTTTATAGATAAAACACCAGTAAAAATAACAAATGTAACGTTTGCATTTGATACGGAGAAGACGTCTCAGACCCCCTTTTTTAAAAAAAAAGCGTAAAGCGTAGGGACTGTGTATTTTGGAGGAGAACGTTTTGAATTAGCATCTTTACCGAGAGGTTAGTTAACAAGTTAATCATGTGCAACGGACGTGGATTGCATGGTCGCTTATTTTTAAATGTTCCTTTAATCTGTCCCGGACCACGCGAAATAGATTTTGCTTTGATGCTAAAATGTATGTTAGACATTTTTTTATATGCACATTATATCAATGTCAACATCATGCGCTGTCGTAACCATTCAGAGTATTTATCAGCCAGACAAGCTCAAAAGTACAGGACTGTACACCCCCCAAGGCTGGGCTGATTCGTGCAAAGGTTCTCTCGCCCTCAGCGGGGAAATATGATTCGGTAAAGAAGAAAAGCAGAATGATCTTTACTGACATTGATAGAAACAGAAGCACAGGCGCCGCTTGACATGTTTTACACTTCCCAATCACGCCGACTGCGTGATTTTTTTTAACACAATTTAATCAATCACGTTTTTCACTTCAATCTGTCAAAACATTTCTGGGAGAGTCGGTTCCAATCAGGGAGTTGGTCGATTATTTCTCAGACGATGTGATTATGACAATTGAGTCAAGAATCATTTGTTTACCTCGGTTCTGATTGATGCAACTGACCAGACAGACAGACAGACAGACAGACAGACAGACAGACAGACAGACAGACAGACAGACAGACAGACAGACAGAGCAGTGCAGCTGAGGAGACTGTAATGCAATAGTAATTGGAGTTGAGGTACAGATCAGCCATGATCTAATAGAATGGCGGAACAGGCTGGAGGGGCTGAATGGGCCTATGTTCCTATGAGACCCAACAGGGCTGTAGTTCCGAGTTCATATTCCTGGTTCCACAAGTGAGGTTGAGTGGCAAAATCCCCTTTACACAGGCCCAAATGAGGGTGGAGCTCGGGAGGTCAGAAAGCAGAGCATCAAAGAAGACCGGATGTGACCAAGACACGGATGAGGGTTTCCCAAGAGATAAAATGAGAAAAATTATAAATTAAAAAAGCAGAAAAGTATCGTTGATGTATCCTCTGTGGATCATTAGTTGCTTTAGCACATAAGAGATAAAAAGATGTATTTCACACTTACCCATTGGAGTTTAAAATTTGATATTTACAAAGGATCTACAAATATTAAATCATGATGGTCACATAAACCCACAGGGATTTCAATGCGTCCAGGAGGAGATCAATACTTGCAAGATTCAATATTTACAAAGTCTTTGCAAGCAACACATTTTTTGGACTTTATTGAATATCTGCTTAATCAAATGCCACCAGGAAGAGTTGTTCCATATCTCTATTTGTGTTTAAGAGGAGTTGCATGTTGACAGCCTTTCACAGATTTTAATTCTAAGTAGAATGAGTGCTGCCCATGCCCATCGGAGTCCTGTAGCTCAATGGTTGAGCACTCGCTTTGCAAGCGAGAGACCTGAGTTCAATTCCAGGCAGGGCGAAACCTTGGGCAAGTTTCCTTACTCCACATGCCAAATAAAAATCCCTCCAAAACAAAAAAAACAATAATAAATTGGTCATTTTCAATCTACGACTGTTTGTGGGACATTGCTGTGCGCAATTGGCTGCCGCGTTCGCCCACTAATATACAGTCAATTCACTTTACAGTGTGTTCTGTGAAGCGCTTTGGGACGTCCTCCCGACGTGAAAAGCGCTATATCAAATGCAAGGATTATTATTATTATTAAAAATGCCCCTGGGAGATGTGTTCCAGCCAAAGTTATTGTTCGCTGTTAGATGTAGTTCCAAATTGAATATTGTGACATTAGTGTGCGTGGACATATAAGAAATTGGGTATGCTAAGTAAAGAAACTAGTAAAGGAATAATATGCTCAGTTTGGAATGAAAAAGATCCAGAAAGATCCTTCATGGTGTGGTCATTGACCATTCTAATGCACGATGGGATGAACTCCACAAGCAGAGTCTGAAAATCAAAACTAAGCACCAGCCAGAACGATTAGATCTGGAATTGCAGAACAAAGGAACAATGTAAAATGCAGAGCTCAGGATTAACTATCAGGAATGACGGAATTAGACTAGATGTAGATTGAAAGTACAATGAACCAATTGGCTGATATAATGTCTAAGATTTAGGAAAAACAGGAAAGAGACACAGGACACATCTCGATACATTTCAGTAAAAGGTCAATGCGTCCATGACATGAAGGATACATACGTAAATAAATGCGTATATCCTGATTCTGTATAATCTGTATCTACCGTCACACAGACACACACACACACATGCACACACATGCATAAAGGAGAGGCAATTTAAAAGAAAACTTTGACTATATGAATGTACCAGACTGACAGCAGCATATGTACCTTTGTTCAAAGCCTACGACTTGTATAGCTTGTTTTCATTTGCATGTAGGCCAGCATTTGAAAGGAGGGGGAGATATGGCAGACATCTCTACAGTTCTGGAAGATAAAACAGGTGTAGCTGAAGGGTACTGACAGAAATGATATGGCACAGAGAAGCCTTCAGACTGACACTCCTTTGAGGGCTGCAGAAAGGTGGGAAGCATGTAAACTGGGGTTTTTAGCTTTTTTTTGTTCCTGACAGCGGAAACAGATTTAAAATGTGCTGTCATGCACCATCTGAAAACAAAATCAACTTCACAAGCATATCCCTGTCTGTGCTCGTCTTTATACTTACATCCTGCCACTTGATCTTGCTGTCTTGCTGCACATTTCAAAATGAGTTGATCACTGGGGATTACAAGCATCTAATAGAACATTATTCAGCCTTTTAATGTAACAATTACAGTACTAGTTATGCAATATTTATCCGCTCCCAAATAACAACGCCCCCCCCCCCCCCCCACACACACACAATGTACTCCCTCCTCCACTCCTGCAAGTATTTGACTCGTTTTGCTATTACTGGGAAACAGTTCCACGAGTGCCCTCCATAAATGATAGCTCTGGGCTATTATTTATGTGCGAACCTTGAAGACTGAATGTGTCGCCAGACTAAGCCTCTGCAGGTCTGATCCTGTCCTCAACCCAATTTCCACACACGCACACACACACCTTCCAGCAGGAAGTCTTTGGATCCAAATG